AATCGTTATCAGATCGTGTCTTATTGCATCATTTAGACTCCCGGCCTTTCTTCGAATCAGACCAAGGTCATCTCCGAGGTCCCTTGCTACAACCCAATCCCGCGCAGAATGCTCTCGGAATTCATACCAGCCTCTATCCGTGGATCGCATGCTCTCCAGCCATACACAGGCTGCTGCAATGGTCGAGGACTCGGTCGTGAGAGCGAACGCATTCGATCAAGAAGGGCAAGAAGGGTGACATGGAGCCAAACTACTGGCTGGTTGGACTTCGTCCTCTTTAGTGCCGCCGACTCGTACCGAGAAGCTTGAATGCACGGCGGAAGCACTCGCCCGCAGAGACTGTCTAGTATCCACTGGAGACTCTAGTAGTACGTACGCATAATGACGAGGAGTCTACGGGGTATGCCATTGCAGAGGCAGGTCTACGACGGTGCACCATAAGATTCATTCTGGAGGTGCATTTTTGTCTTAAGTAGCAGCAACATCTTTGGATTGGCATTACTCTGCCCAGCGCTCCACCATACTCATAGTTGCTTGCTTCGGCAGCTGCTGTATTCATGATTTGGAGCAGAACATTGGTCCTGAAAGTCAACACCACTTGCATGTAGGTTTGCAAAAGGGGTCCAGTCACTGTTGGGAAAATGCTGGGTGACGATTGACTAGCGTAGCTAGATAGACAGCAGACTCCAATCGGACTTGTGAGTGGATACAGAATGTTGTTATTGTTTATCGTGCTAATAGTTAAAAGAATGCAGCACACATAGAATACTCTGATGAGGCTTGGGTGGTGTGTGTGTGTGTGTGTGCTTGATTGCTTGATCCGGCAGCAGCATGTTGGCATGCTGGTTGGTACATCGCAATGTAATGGTAGAGATTGTCGGTTTGTTTGCTTGCTTACTTTCCCTTGGCTTCCATTTCATCACTCTTGGGAGTCCATACGGCACCGGTGTCGTTATCCAACAAGGTTTCGGTCTTCTTGTTTTTGTTGGATGATGATCCAACGGGCAAGATGTATGTGATGAATGTGAGCATTTGACGAAGGAGATAGAGAAGAAGGAGACGGGATCCCTCCAGATAGTCATTGATCCACCAGGCCGACAAGAATCCAGTGCTAATGTTGTTGCATCGTTCGGCAACATAGTTGACACTCATGGTAGCATCCATGGAATAGACGGCATGCCACCATCCATTGGGGACATAGAGGATATCGCCCGGTTGGAGAATGAGATTAAACTCGGTGGCCTTGGCAAACAAGGGGTATTCGGTAAGATCGACTGTGGAAAAGACATCCAGAGGCGAATACATGCCTCCATCAATGGCTCCCTTGGTTTCCATGTAGAGGTACTCCTTGTCAGCCGGTGGGTAGAACTTCCAGTGCTTGCGTCCGTGAATCTGCAGCATGCAACTGTAAATCACCATATCGGCGTGCAGGCCAATAGAACTGTCGGCATTGCCAATCCAAAAGTAGTGCGCACGAGGAATATCGGTAGGACCCATGTAGACATCTTCAAACTGGAAATCCTCCTTGAGTTCGGGATGCGCTTCAAAGACTTCGTGACATTCTTTGATACTCCAGAGGGAACCGCCCTTTTGAAACTTTTCCGCAAAGAACTTTTCAATGGTCATTTTGGTGCGATTAAAGACGGCTTGAAAGAGGTACGATTGCGATTTGGATTTGCGGTTGAAACAGTACGGTCGAATCGTCGTGTCACCGCATTGCTTTCGAATCCAATCGTAGTCCCATTTCCCCGACACGGGCCAATCGGATGCCACACCCCGTAGCACAAATGGCTGCTTGTCGACATAGTCGCGACGCAACAATGCTTCGTCGAACTCAGTAAAAATGGCAATGGAACGAGTGCCAGCCGTCTTGCCTGGAGCAGTGCCTGCAGTGGTGGTGTCGTTATTGTTGATTGTCTCTTCTGTCATCATGGCCTCTCTTTCTCTTCACTCTCACTCACAAATCAATCAATGGATAGATGCTACCCGAAACTTGAAATAGTAGTCTACTACATGTAGTGGTACCAGTCCAGTCAATATCTGGTGGTGGTGGCAAAGGAAATTGAATTTGTAACGATTGATGATAGTGGTTGGAGTGTCATTTTTTGACGACGTCGGGCGCACCGCATTGGTATCAAACGTCACTCTGAAATATTGAACCAAATGATCCTGCAGTCGGTCCGTTGAATAACCGCTCTGGAAACAATCACGTCAGCAATCCGAACAGATGCGTTTGGTTGTCATGGCGACAATATATGGTATTTAGATCAATGATAACTATAGACATGAAGGTAGTATGAATTTATTTGCATATTCAAACCTAAAGTGTTCTCATTCATTGGTCGATCCAGTCCTCCTGCATTTACGCCGGTTTTGAATCCGGTCCTCTGGCAGTTCAGTCATTGATTCGGACAAGGTTAATGCTAATGAATGCCACGAGCACAACCGTGGAAGATGCTTACCGGTAGCCACCATGGCCACCCAGAGGGATCGTGCAGAGAAGCAGCTCGGTCCCAAGTGTTGCCGCTGAGAAGATAAGCTGTCACGATAAAAAGGGGCCCTCCAACCAAAGCATCAGGAAATCTATCAGGAACGATAAAGGTGTGATAGCTGCAGTACAACCTGCTGATACCATCCTTTTTAAACAGTAGAGCAAATTCTACCAACCGTGCAAGTTGGTGACAGAAGAAGGTGTTTCTGTTTATCCAGCTACCGTATGAGTACCATGGGTAACGTATGCATAATACCCACCACCATGTTTGTCATTCTTCTAATCTTGGCACTGGAAACATCACAAGTCCATGCATGGACATTATCTGCCCTGATGCGACCTTCTGCCACCACTACTACTACTGGTTCCTGTCGGTCCAGTTTTGTAGGACTCGCCAACGGCTGCAACCATGTTCCCCTCAAAAGAAGAAGCAACGGCATGACCATGGGCCTTCAGGTGAAAATTCGCATGGTGGGTCGGGAAAAGAGCGGGACACACGATCAATGGATGTCTCCTGCCATTGAAATGTACACTACGCGATTGCGATCCGCTCAAATGGACGTGGAGACGGAATGGCACAAAACGGACGAGGCATTGATCAAGGGAGTTCTTGGCGATGTCCAAAAAGGAGCTACTGTGGTAGTGTTGGATCCCCATGGGAAACTACCCTCCAGCGAAACCTTTGCTGCCGACCTCTATGAATGGTTGGAACGAGGTGGCAGTCGTGTGGTATTTGTCATTGGAGGAGCGGAAGGACTGCCGTGGGAATTGAAATCAGGTCAACTCATGATGACATCCTCCTCCTCCAAGGGCAATAATAAGAAATCTGCCACCCACAATAAGCAACTACCGCTCTTGAGTTTGTCCAAATTGACCTTTACGCACCAATTTGCTCGTCTACTATTGGTGGAACAAATCTACAGAGCTTCCGAAATACGAAAGGGAAGCAACTATCACAAATAAATAATTGTTGACAGTCAATTGTGAAACAAAGGAAAGTCAAATTCAACATGCAATGAACGGATGGAATTTGCAGGCAGAGTTTGAAAGTACGGTAACAGAGACACGATGTTGCTTTGGCACTTTCGAGGAGATTGGCAGCTGAAACTCCTACAACGAGAAGAACCCAAAATTGTCTTTCTGTTTCGCCTTGGGTAGTATCAGAGACAATCCGCATCACTTCGTCTGGATACAAATAATGCAGGAAGAGCAAGCATGTTGACCAGCAATTGCTCTCCAACAGGGGATAAATCTCGGAACATCCTCACACACGGCTAATACAAGTTGAACCGTAGGTGTCTGCTTGGGTCATCATCAAGAAATTTCAGAAGTAGTCCATGGTTGTGGTAAAGTAGACAGGTTCTCTTGTGGCGAGCTAGTTGGATACACCGGCGAAGCCATTCATTTCAGCATAAACAGTTACTATACTATAGTTACAATGAGAATCCCTGTATCGGAAGAATCGCCTGTGCCTGCCTTTGATAGCACGACAGCCCATAGTGATGCACCGAAGAGTTTGATTTGATCGCCTCAAGATTCTTAACGTTGGCCATGGTGATTTGCATAGATCTGAGTTGTCCAGCCAGATTGGAGACTAGCAATAGAGAACTGGAAGGATCGCTTTACCGGTACACACATGAATCCTGCTATTGCCGCAGAAGGAACGCTAATCTGGGCAAGGAGGTTGACTTCTAGCAGTAACAATGTGGCTGATTGACTTGTAAATAAATCTTGAGCATCTATGTTCTTTTATTAATAGGCTATGAATTGGTTTTCTGTTCATTGTGCAATCGTTTGTTATTCGCAAGACCTCTATGCCGCAGCTCCTCCAATGCGTCCACTTGGTGGGTGTCGGGGCATGCTGGTCTTGGGTTGCACCATGATAATATTAGCACCAATCCAGGAGCTCTCTGAATCCGAGCCAATTCTGGGAATATCCGCCGCTTCCAGAAAGTCTTGGTGTAGCTCGATACTGCGCATCCATTGACGAACGCTCCGAGATGTACCGAGAGAACAGTTGGAGATCCAAATCATCCACGTAACCTGTTTCTTGTTGCTGAGCGCGCTGCTCTCCGAGGACACTGCGGGTGTGATATCTTTGAAATGCTTCCAATTGTTGACCAAAGAGTTCATCGTACACGAGTTCCAGGCCTCTAGAGACACCATAGTTTTTTGCCATGGTTCTGTTCGTAATCTCGATCAAGGTCAGTTCGCTCTCTGTGTACCATTTGCTCTGCTGATATTCGTACGTGAGCATCACCGGTGCTGCTGTCATGGGAATGTCGACTTCGTAGCCAAAGCTGACCCTCTTGTTGTTGATGCTGTTGGAACGAGATTGCTTCATCATGATGTATCCTTGGGTTTTGTTGCTGTTGTTTTCTGTTGTTTTCAGTTTGTGAGATGAGATTTGTGAGAACTAACTTGCTTTCCGACCCTGAATGTGGGAGTGACAGGAATGGTGGGGTTCGATGGAATGCCCAAAGACATAAGAGGAAACACAAAGGTTGCCACGTATTCCGTATCACTGTGAAAAGAACAGCCGACGAATGTAAAAATCTCTTCCAACTTCAAGATCATTCGCAAATTACAGAGCGGTACCGCTGGTTTTTTTTTGCACGGTGGCTAAAAAGGTAATCTACAGCAGGAATTCTTGGTGTTGAAAAGTTCTGATCTAGCCCGCCAACAGATCAAGACTGAGGCCTTTGTGTCTTGTTGTCTTGTTGATCCAACAGAAATGCTCTACTCTACTAGCAAGCTAGCTAGCTAGCCAGAGCTACAGGTAGTAGACCGGTAGTGTTTTTGTGTTTTTGGCTGGGGTTTTGATTTGTTGGATGCATCAGTTCGGTGGATCGAATCTGCACTGCTGCAACTATGGATAGTAGAGGTGAATAAGTCCATTGTTGCTCCAGCCCCATCTTTTCAGCCACTGACGATGGCTGGTTTCGGCCCAAGGAATCTTCGGATTTTGGCTGGCTGCCGAGAGGCTCCATCACTTTTGGAGAATTTCTACCGTACTCCGGAGCTCCGGATTGAGTTTTAATAATCTAAAACTGGACTCGACTACCAAAGCAGACCAAGATCCAAGAAACAGTGAAGCCTTTTGGCGTACTTCCATGAAGAAGTGGCCGGAAAAATTGGCCGGATTTTTGTTTCGTTTGGACACTATGAACAGTCCTGAAAAATTGAACCCTTTAAAAACAGTTTCGCCGAGCCTTGTGCACAGTTTGGTACTGGTACAGTTTGGTACCCCAACCAACCCCGTACCATTCGACCAACAAACCACCTGTCTTCGACGAGTTATCCCGGGCCTTGCACGTGCGGGTTTGTCTCGACACTTAAATTGCGGCGACATAATATTCAATCTTGTGCGATCGTACAGTAACTGGAAGCAACCAACAGGCAAATTGCATAGCTATTGCATCAAGTTTGAGTTCTGGCACTTGTGCAGGCCGGTACCAGTACTATAAACAGTACCTACCGAACGCTGGAGAGGAGGCGCCAGAGCTCAGCCATCCAATCCGTGTAGAGTGTTTTCTTCAGAATGATTGAGCCACGTTGAGGGTGCGGTGACGTCGCGTGCGTTGCCTCGCCTCCACCTTTCTGTCGCGGAGGCCCTCCTCCGTGTTGAAGGAAACTAGCTAGTGAAACTTCAAAGGCGAATGAAACGGGAACGTCGACATCCGTCCAGTTTCTATTTTTAAAAATAATAAACTGCCGTGGTCAGGTACACCGTACACACGAAAAAGCCTCCATCTGTGGTTTCTTCTGCAAGATTGAGCCACGTTGAGGGTGCGGTTACTAGTACGACACGTTGCTCACCTCCACCTTTCTGCTCGCGGAACTCGCTTCTCCAAAGTCAACTTCACATTATTTGAACGGAAACGGGAACGTCGACATCCGTCCAGTTTCTACATACCGTAAAATTGAAAGCCTTCGCAAACCATTAACGTACACTTCCGTTGTCATGTACGTAAAAGCCTGCATCCAAGCATCTGAGCCCACGGCTCCAAAAGAAAAAGCGAATCGAACCGGAAACGTCCCATCCGCCAAGTTTCTAATGGCGGAAGTCATCGCGAACCATTAACTGTACATTGCCTCGGTCAAGTTATTAAATGTGCGAAGTGAAGGCCAAGGCCTCGATGCCTCGATGTGTACCGGTAGCAGGCGTGACACTTATTATTTTGAAGAGCGTTCGTTAATTAATGCCCTTTTTACACTTCTGGCAGAACGCTAGAATCTGAATCCTGACGGAACCCAAAGAAGGTCTTGGTTGGATTCGTCAGATTACGGAATCAAAGGAAACGCAAAGGCTTCCGTGCGGCCCTTCAGAAGGGAAAATTGACTTAGGCGTCACTCTCAATGGCCACGCCAGTTTGTAGGCTTCTGGAATTGATTCTGGGACCTGTCATTTGCTACCAGTCCCACTGCAGGTACGCGCGTACGGAACTACATGGTTGTATGTACAGTACCTACCAGCACTATAATAGTTGCAACACCAGTGTTCGATGGCACATTGTGATCTCGAAATGCAAACCTTGGGATTGTACTCAAGTGAGGATTTATCAATTGCACACGATCGAATTTGGGTTCTTATTAGTGCCTTAAAGAACTCCTTTCTGTAGTCACTAAGCCGAATTAAAACAGAATACAATTGTTAAGCCTCCTGTTGAATGAGAGCTACCAGGTACCAGTGAAATAAGAAACCACATCGAATGTCCAACCGATCGGCGCGATCACAGGCGAGAATGTCACGCAGGAACCCATACAACAAAGACAACGAGCTACGCACCACTGGTACTGACTGGTACAGAAAGTATTCATACCAGGTAGCTCCACTGGAACACCGGCCAAAACCGGCACCATTGCACACCTCTTATTAGGCTACCAGCGGTATTAGGAGGCCTCCAACGTGACACTCTCTCTTCTCTGTCGCTCATAAAATAAAGTGGGCAATCTCGAGTTCAAACCAACACACTATCATCTATCATATTATTATTTCCATCATGTCATCTCCGCCTGCAAAGAAATCTGTTTCCTTCGGTAGGACCTCCATTGCCCTGTACGAAGAGGAGGAGTTCCGTCGACCCAAATGGTACACTTCCAGCGAGCTGTTGCTCATTGATCTCTACAACCAGAAAGACTTGGAACGGCATGGCCTGTCCAGAGGATTGGAGCTCGTCCATGATGAATTGTTTGGCCGTCCAATGGTCGAGTATCAGAGGCAACACGCCTATGCCGTGTTGGATCTACAAGACGACCAAGAGGGTATCCGAGATGAAATGGCCTTGCGGTTGGTGTCGTTGGACATGAGCATGGCATCTCGTCGTCAAGCACTGCTACGTGCCGAACATGACGCTATGGAATTGAAGGAGGAACCGGCGGTAGTGGAAAAACAACGCTGCTACCCTATTGTGGACTACAGCTACAAGTGTCCCAACAACACTCCCATTCCCAGCATCATCACCGTGCACAAACAACAACATGTAGAGGGAGGAATGGCCGCTTAGTGGCACATGAGCCATTCAAAGTCTGAATGTATGCATTATGGTGTGGATTTAGCAGGCCACCACCACACACTCTCCATTGATCTGATAAACTAACTGTATAAACTAACTGTACTAATTGCCTGATACAAACCATGGACGGGGATTTTTGAGTAGGGAGGTTATGGACGGAAGCCAGCGAGGGCCAGGCTTAGGCAAAGAAGAGTCCAAATTCAGGACTAGATTCTGTGGGACCAGGGGAGATGACAAGGGGGCCAAACCATCGTTCAAAAGTAACAGTTGACATCAGTGTGGATGTCTTGTTAGAAGCAACATGTTGAAGGTAGAAGCACCAGGCCAATCAGCACTGAACTCAACGCTGTGGTCACATTCGTTTCGTCTACAGTATGGTAGCTAGCTTTTTTTGTAACAGAGGTGCGAACACTTGGACACTACCAGTGGACGGGACAGCCTCCACTACAATACTCATACACCAATCGTCTTTTGTCCAAAGAACACGGGACGACAACTAACTACCACTTGGCCACTTTCTCACCCTTGAGGACTGCGATATTCCGTAGAATGAGCAGTATCTCTGGATCATTTTCATCCTCGGTATGGCCACGTTCAATCATCAAGGCTTGTTGAAAGCACTCGAGCGCCCTTCTCTTGTTCTGATCATCCTCCGACACCCCCAAGACGGATCCTAACGCCAACAGGGACTTTGCCACTTCCGGGTGCGTCTCCCCGGCCGTGCTCTGTTTGAGTTCCACCGCCCGGGTCAATTCTTGCTCTGCCAATTCGAGTTGTCGTTGCTGTGCGTGCAAGACCCCCATGGCATGCAACACGACTCCCTCCAATGCCGGGTCTTGGTCTTCGTCGAGAATGGTTTGATAGTACTCTAACGCGCCATCGATTTCATCCATGGACGACAAGACATCCGCAATGTGCAATTGCAGAGCTTGTCGTTTATTCTCCGGGTCCTTGCCCGCAACCACAATTTGGAGCGCCTCTTGATACTTTTCCAATGCGTCTTGGTAGTCTTGTTTCAATCGATACATCATTCCTTGATTGTCGAGGCATTTGACCAAATCCGGATGTGGCTCTTGTGTTGTCGTCGTTGTTGCTGTACTATTGTGGTATCGAAAATGATCTTCAGATTGATTCAACAGTTGGAGGCACCCGTCCACATGTTGTCGATGAAATTCCACTCCGGCCATGGCCACCAGAACGTTTCCCATATCGGCATGGTAGTCTTGCTCGTTGTGTTCCATGCGATACAAGTCCAACGCTTTTTGATACTTGGCGTTTGCCGCCACGGCATCCTCCAACAGCATGTGCAATTTGCCTTGGCGAAAGATACAGGCCGCCAAATCGAGAGAGCTCTGGGCGTACCATTCCAGTTGTTGTTCCACCATGAGATGATCATCCCAATACTCGAGTGACTCCAAACAGCTACGCAATTGAAGGAGGGAGTCCTGCATGTCCTGGCTGGTTTCGGGTGTAGATGTATCATCCTGTAGTAGTCCTTGATGGTGCTGTAACGCCAGCTTTAAATGGAGTTCTTGCGGTGACAAATCTTCATCTCGTTGTTTGAGTATCAGGGATTGTGACGGGAATTCGGCTTGTTGTTGAATGGCTGATTGACCCACTACCACCACCGAGGCAGGATATACAATGTTGCTGTCCACAGTGGTACCAGTGGACAAGAGCCGGCTGTTAAGGGTGGAGGATCTTTGTGGAATAGCAAATCTTGTCGATGCAACATAGGGGCGACCACTAGCACGTCTTGCAAGACATCTCATGAACTTCAACGACGACGAGGCAGCGGTGGATGATGCCATGGTGGATGGATGGATTCGATTCAATAGACTAGTATCCGGGTGCAGGATCCACAGCTCTCGAAGTGTATTGGCTTTTGTGGCTGGTGGCAAAAGGAATGATAAGCTTGTAATGCTGTTGTGCATTACGTGGGGCTTAACAGTTTCAGTATCTACCTAGCTAGCTAGTAGTTGGAGATTCCCGTCTCTTTGGAAGAACCTTGAAATACAGGTCAAGTCTGTCTCGAATGCAGGAGAGAAATCAGCTCTAGTATCTTGAAAGCACGTGTGTGGTTAGTGCATCATGAAATTTGAATTCGTAGATGTCTGCTTGGGAAGGAAGAGCAAGGACGATGCTAATTGGCACAACAGGTTCTTGATACCAAGACTAGATCTAAGTGTTCCACATCTTCATTCATTTTTGCGAGTACCAGGTACCATGGTAGGCCAAACTGGGGCTCAACGCGGTGCGTTGCAACAATACCGCGCGGAAGGTTGTCAGCATTTTGCGCAAAGCCAAAGCGGAACAATCAAGCCAGGCGCCGCAGATTAATTGAATTGTATGAATGAATGAATGATTCTAAAAAATGGCGCCTGCACACCGACTGTATTAAAAATCAATTCTACAAGGTTCACTTTCGCTTTTCTACCTCACGCTTTTGAGAATGTACAGATACAATTGTTGTTGCTTGTTTGTTTGTTTGACTTCTATCCCATACTTTGAAACTGTTGATTGGAATGTTGTCCCATGACGAAACCACCGTCATGATAGTCACCATTATTGTTATTATTTCCAAAGAATGAATTATCCGGTGCATCAAAGAGCAGTGCCGACGATTGGGCATCGTTTCGTTCCGACGCGTACATGGCGGCGTAACCGGAATGCAAATTGTGGGACGGCCGAATTTTTTGCAGCAACCATTGATTGACACCGACCAGACAATGTCCGCAGTGGCGTGCATAATAGGCAATTTGATATTGGTGTTGAATGCAAAATCCATACAACAACACACCCAATCCTAGGAGGATGCACCAGGCAATCATTTTTCCCATCATGCGAAAAAAGGAAAGTCCAGTAGCAGCTGTAGTGGGAGCAGCCGTGGGAGCAGCTGTGGGTGGGGCAGTGTCGTGTGTGGGGGCGGGAGTCTCATTCTTGTGGGAAGGTGCGGGAGTAGGAGCCACGGAAGTAGGAGCTACCGTAGTGGGAGCCGTGGTGTTGAAATCGTCGGGTGTGATCGTGGGAGAGGGTGTGGTAGGATGCTGCGTGCGATTTCCAGGTGGTGGAGTGGGCACCGGAACCACAGGCACGGGAGCTGAGGGAGTGTCATCGTGGAGGGAAGCAGTAGCCGGAACGGGAATGACCACCAGTTGGTCTTCTCCAAAATCTTCTTCCATCATTAGTTCTTCTTCGTCTTGTGTTTCTTCTAACCTTCTACCGACCGACTTACTAGCCTCTGCGGAATGGCTTGAGAGTGCCAGCAGAAGACAGAGTAGAAGCAGAGAATTCATGGAGAGTCTCATTGTGAGTAATGATTGAATCTGATGATCGAGTAAAAGTGGATTCGATTCTCCAATTGACTGAAGCAGAAGACTGGCTGGGTCAAGGATCTGCTGGGTTATCCGACTCTATTCGGCTCCTCTTGCTGGGCTCCACTGGTCTCCTTTTGTGGTCTCAAGAGGTTCGAAGCCACGAAAATTTAACGAGAGGCAACAAACAGTGAGACATAATAAATAAATAAATACGGTTCCTACAGCTGCGCGAGCGTTTCTTCTTTGACGTGGGCAAGATGTTCACGTCACGCTGCCGTCAGCAGTGTTAAAGTAGTTTACGAACGGTGGCAGTTTGGAACTTTAGAAATCCACGGCACCGTCATCTTTGCGTCAATAGTACATTAGAGATAGTGCTAGTGACTTGGTCGAATCCAACGCGCGTGACTGACTGATTCGGAAGGCCGAATTCTTTTCCAATGTTCTTCTCGTTGGCCAATGACGTCCATTCTCAACGATCAACGACACGACAGACAGAAGCTTTGGAGATAACGAACAGATTGACGATTGTTGGCTGCTGTTATTGTTGACATTCATAACACAATCCCACAAAAAGCCACGAACCAAACAGAACCAAGCCAAGATGATGAAGCCAACGACCTCTATTGAGCGTCCGTGGAGGACCCTTTTGACCTTGATACTGAGTGTTGCCTCTACTACATTAGTCCAAGGCAGCAGCAGTCCACAAAGTGACAATGACACGAATGACTCCATGTCGTCATTGATACACCGATATCACAATGACACTTCCTCCAGTGGATTTCCTTTGGATAGCAAGGACCAAAACAAGGCGGCAACCGTTTTCTTGACATTTTCGCTCCTCTTTGGGTTTGCTCTGTTTGGATTGAATTTGCGCCAAAAATCATTTCGACGAATCGAAAATTTGTCAGCATACCGGCGGGGGACGTATGAAGGAGTTTCGCTATTGGAATTGCCTCCGGGGGATTACAATACCAGTGGAACCGCTAGTGGAACTGCTACAGAAAATGATGATGACAAAGAAGGAGAAGAAAAAGATGCCAACAATTCACAGCCACAAGAACAGGAGGAACCAAAAATCTAAGATATTGGATGGATTGATGATGGTGGCAAGATTGGTATCAGACTCCGCACAAATCCAATTCATAGCTCTAATATTGAAGAAGAAAAAACATCCCTTGGAAAGATGGTCCTCCACAAAATCTACATTCCATCAAAAAGGACACATGTTGGCAAAAGTCCACTATTTGGTCTAGCTAGTGGTCCCTTCTTGCCAGGTTGCTTTCTGAAACATACATGCAATACAGTACGACTAGCTAGAATAAACCAAAAACTGCTATCTATATAATGCATATGATTTATGAATTCAGTAGACTCAAAGGGAGACGTTCCACTTGCTGCCTTTGTTGCTTGACTGCACCGAACTTTCGTTCTGGGACCCCAATTTGCAATTTTTTCTTTTTTGGGCCTTGTGCTGTAGCAACGCCACATCAACAAGGAAAATACACACTAGCTAGTCAAATACGCACTCAACCAGCTAGCTAGCTACTAGTGGATGACGTACTGATCTGGTACAGTATGCTATGGATCTCTGATCAAGCTTCGGTAGCCTTCGAGAATTGCATTCCCTCAGATCCCCTCCCACACAAAGGAACAGATGATACTCGATCACTGGGCCCTACTGTATCAGTATGATAAGTTGACTACACAAAGTGCTGGAATAGACGCAGCTACGACAAATACTCAAGGCATCCATTATACTGAAGCAAACTTGCATTCCTGAAACGAAGCATTGAAAAATCCTGCCACCATTGAATCTAGCTAGCTAGTTAGCTAGTTTTACTAGTAGCTGGCTCCCTACAAAGCCATTGGTACATGCACGAAAGAAAGAACCAAAAATGAATCGAATCAGTCCGTCAACTCACTACACAAACTCACGAGCATTGTAGATGTATCCTTGGCAGCGTGCTGTGTTTGCTTGGGGCCACCAGCCAATCCAACTTGAAGTGTCTGGTTTCCTGCGTACTAGCTAGCCTATACGACCGATCCATCCATCCATTCTGAAAGCAGCTACTAGTACCTTACGATTGCAGCACCAGGAACCAACGAGATGTCAGTAAGATGTTACTCATCCTCGTAGATTGTTCCTTCTATGCAAAGGATTTGATTCAATTTCAGGCGTAATAATCCGTTCCAAACGGACACTGCACCCTCACTCATCATGGCATAGAATCAAATCGCGGCGAATTGTTGTTTGTTTGTCATGATTTTCCTTTTGTGGAGGAAAGACTGGATAGAAATGATTCCAATCTGGTTTCCTGATCTTCTGTGAGGGCTCCTTCCTTTAGTCTTCCCAATTGCGCTGCAAACCATCGATGCAGTCTTGTTTTGGGACCCAAATATTCACTAAAGGCATCCTCTCCTCCTCCTGCACCTGTGGATGTTTCAAATTCTTGCTTTTTTTCTAGGACTTCTTGAAATACCACTTCGGTCCACGGATTGTTTCCCTTGTCCCAAATAAAGCCGAGATCTTCGAGTGCTTGCCATTTGGCGCCATCGAGTGAATGACGTTTCCGACGCTGGACGCGGACCCACGCATTCAATGCTTCATCGTGTCGGACGGGGACTTTGCAATGGCCATTTTTCGCTTTGAATTCTTTCAACAAGTCGAAGCATTCCCACCATGTGCGCGTCTTGCGATGGGCCACAATGACTTTTGTACTAACCACTTTGCGCGATTTCTTCTTGACAACAATTGGTTGTTGTTGTTGTTGTTGTTGTTGTTTTGAGTGTTCGACTTTGACAAAGGCTTCCAATGCCTGTTGTTTGTCCGAACTCAAAAATTGTCGATTCTTCCATTGCTCGGAAAACCACGCTGTCAACACATCCGAAGGACCCTTTTTCTCTTGGCACGCTTTCAACAATTCCAGATTCTCCCACCAATCATACGAAAGTTGTTCGGTCCGAGGCTTTTTGCTCGTTCTATTTTGCGTAGGAATGCTCCGACGAGTAGCACTGTCTCGTTTTTTGATGCTGTTACTAGGAATGGGCTCTTCTTCTTCTGCTTCTTCTGCTTCTTCTTGTTGTTGCTCCTCCGAGGCATCATCGAATTGACCGTCGTCCTCCATGGTTCACTTGAAAAACTAGCTAGATCACAGCAAGGAAGCAACAAAAGTCAAGCTACCACAAGCTATACAGTACATGCATTTAATTTTAGTAACACTGCCATCAACAGTCATCAACTACTACCAATCTTGCTCTCCTTTTGTTTTCGGCGGAAGTACATGCCCAGTTCCGGCGCCAAAAAGACCTTTTGATCTTGGAATTGACTTCTTCAGCTCTGCAAGCTCATGGCATGAACCCCACCCTTGGTGATTATGGTCACGGGTTACCACACGCTACGATGGCTAACGGACATGTAAGTGGGAAACCATTCCACATGAGAAATTTGCATTGCTGGCAAATATTCCGGCAACCATGACACAACGTCTTCTTCTTGTCCACCTTCGTGGCGTTGTTCAATCAATACAGCTCGAGTGGGGGAGTTGGTTATTTCCGCTAGTGCGGCCTGTAACGAAGCAAGCCGCTGTCTAGCTACAACAAACGGGGGTGCCGTGCTATTATCATCTACAATCATTTGGATCACCAGGCAATCCCTCGTCCCCGTTGTTGAGGGGTCAACGATGCTTGGGTGCAAGTTGTTTAGTAAGACTGGGATCCAGTTGGCAGCCCATTCTTTCGAACGTTCGACTTCTTGAATATAGGAATTGATAAGTTGACATCTCTGTTTTCGTAGGGCGTGAGGTGAGATTCCCAATCCGCAGCCCAGTCTGGTTGTACAAAAGGAGCTGTGCGACAAATAAATGGCTGGTTGAGGAAAACGGCACCATGCAAACGATGGGATCAGCCAGCCATGCCACTTTTAAAGCAATACAGGTCATCGGCATCAGCCATAGTTACCATTGGGAGGTTCCGGGTGGTTCGAATCCCTGGCAGGGCCACTCATGGTCACTGGTACCTTGTAGTCTGAGCTTGTTGGTTCTGGTTGCTGTTTGATTGTACAGTAGTATTGTGAGCTTCATGAGAGGAGCTTCTCTTGGAGAGTACTCTTTCTCAGAGCGGGGCCATCCTAGAGCGGGGCCATCCCAAAGCGGGGCCATCCCTGAGTGGGGCCATCCCCAAGCGGGGCCATCCCCAAGCAGGGCCATCCCCAAGCAGGGCCACACTCTGTAGATACCTCCTTGTGGCTCTCCTCTTGTCACTGCACAGTATTGGGTGCCTAGCTAGCCAGATGGTTGGCTCACTGTTCCCCGCTACGTCCTCTCTAGCTTTTGTTTGTGGGATTTGGCACATCGGTCCAATCCAGCTTGAACTGAGATGGGCTTGTTCGTGACGGTCCGTCTGGCTTTTGCAGGTTCCCAGTCCAGTGCTTGATGGGGGATACCTTGCAAAAGCGGCCAGTAAGCAACAGCAACAACCCGAAGGGGTTCAGAACACCACCAAGGCTTGTTTCATGTGAACTTGTCGTGGGCTTGCCTTGATCCATGGCTATGCTTTTCTTGTTTTGTTTTTTAGATTGTCTTGATAGGTTGGCACCCTTGAGGTGCGCGGGAATGTGTTCTTTTGTGGGGTCATGGGATCTTTTCTTGCTTTCTGTATGTGGGGGTGCTGGTTCGAGTTGTTGGGTTTTGCTTGCTGTATCGTAACGGATACACGCTATGCTACATCGAAATTCAGGACTAGGTTCCGTAGGATTGGGGGCGATATATTGAAGAAGGCCAGTACAGGGCCAAAGGGCTTGTCTTTGTGGGATCCATGGCGACATCAATGTGTACCTTACACAAGGGCACGAGAATGCGGGTCTGCATGAAGAACATCAGTTGAGAGCATAGGTAGCCTCGTGGATTTGGAACTGTCACTATCATAGACAAACTCTGGGGTGCAAGATCAGGGAGTGTACCATACCAACGCAGTAGAAGTGATCTTTTGCAATAAGGCAACGTGTGTCAACCAGCTGTGTCCTTCAAGCTAAAAAGTAAACATCCAAGTTTCTATCAAACGTGGTTGGTGCTCGCTTTCCTCGATAGTATGGTAGAACGGTAAGATTGTGCCAGACCGTAAACTGGCTTGTAGCATTCTGCATTGCTGTCTTCCTCATCTTGTCCAGGTTCAGCTTTGTTCCGGAGCCAGCTAAGGTACCATTACCAATCCAGTATGCCTGCCTACGGTACGCATGTATTCATCCATCCATACTGCCAAAAGAATAGAAGAATCTTCGTTTCTTCTTCTTCTTGCGAGAATCCTGATCCAACCTTGCACGCACACACATCTCACCACCCAGCCCACACCTTCCTACACACATCTCACACATATAACGTACATAAAACTACTACACACATATGTTACCCTCTATCTAAAAGGAAGCAAGTCAAGTCTCTACTTCTTGGGGTTGATGTCAGGTTCTCCTGTAGATCCAATTTGATAGCCTTTTTCCCATTGAATCTCATGGAACCATTCCTTCTTGACACCGTGCTCTGTCTCCAGTTTCTCGTAGCAGGCCGACTTTGTCTCCTCCGCCATTAATGGATCCAATGCAAAGATAAAGTACATTTTCTTGCCCATCACGTTGGCAAAGTCGACACGGAATTCAGTGCGAGAATCGTCCGTGGGAAATTGGACGGGGGTCATGCCAATACCAAAGGGTGCAATAATCATGCATTTGAGGTCAATGGCTGGATACATTTTGAACATGGTCTTGTCAAATTTGACTGGCCAAATGGGATAATCCACCTCCTTGCCGTCAGTCTCAATGGTCAAGGTATGATTCTGCCCCAACTTGTTGTTGAGTTCCTTGTCGTCGTTGTTGTCTCCCTTGTCGGACCAGTACCAATGTTCCCAAAAGACCTTTTGCTTGGCCACACCAGGATCCGAGACCGCCAAACAGTACCAGACGCGGTCCATGAGTTTGTTGGCGTTATCGGTCTTTTCGTAGAACTCCTCCCAAGTCATGGTCTTGGTGGGAACTGTAATCACAGGCTTTGACATGATGATGGCGAATGCGTGTACTGGAGTAGACTGTGGGACGGGTTACTTTTATGAAGGAGAGCCGAAAACAGCAGTGGATGGGCAAATTGAACAGCGCAACGAGTGGTGCTGGTTCTGTTTGTGATGACACTGTTGATGGGGCACAACAGTCCTTTGTTTGTATGTACAGCCAAGCAAGATCGAGCAGACCAAATAAATGTAGAATGGAAGGACCAAGCTCTGTTGCCAGTGTGTTGTTGTGTTGGTTGGGTGGTTGGGTGTTGGGGTTTGTGAGGAAGAAAACGAAAAGGGGTGTATGCACTGCTGACGGCACAATGACCAGTACCACTCCGATGACCGGTAGGATCTGTGCGAGATCAGGAGACAGCTTTATCGGTAGTTACGGTAATTAAAATGTTATAGCTGTTGATTAATTAATATGATTATCATTCTGATGATTACCGCAACTACGGGTTCTGAAGTGCCAAAGCTGTCTTCCTGCGAGCGGTCAGATTCCACCGTGACAGCATCTATTATTTCTTTCTACCACTATGGATAGCTACTTTTCTTTGCGAGGGGAATGAATAAATATTTTCATTCGAAGGAGCTTGAATTTCTTTCCTAAGCTCCTCCAAATGGCCCATTGAATTCACCCCGAAGCCGTAGGTAGCATTGGCAGTGAAACTTCTCCGTGTTAGAATGCAAGGCAATGTCTAACGAGTTGAACCTAAAAAAGCAAGAATGGAGGCAAGTACAGCGTTGGTACATTCTTCGGTGCCATGGAGCTACAGCGAGGCGATGGATGGATGGACGATATAAAGGGAGAGTGGTGTCGGTATTGGCTCTACAGTATATTTGATTGGATTGTTATTGGAAGGAGGTACACTGTGTACCATGGAATGGGCGGTTTGGGACTGGCCAGAGCTCCTGCATTGATCCATCTCTCTTTTGCTTGATACTGCATCATTTTCCAACGGGAGCAAATCCCAGGAGATTTATTTATTCAGTTGAATTCCACCATCAAATTTTTTGACATTTATGGTTTGCAGCTGTTGCTAGAGTACTATTTATTTACTTTCTATGGTTGCTTCTCTGATTTCAGAACCTCATGCTCTGGTACAACACTCTCTTAGAATCCTAGTAAAAAGCCTTTTTGATTTTTGCTTGTGTTGTGTTGTGCTTGCTGTGCTGTGACGATACCTACCAAGGCCTTTTGGAACTGGCCGTGATGTTTTTCACGGTATTGTTGTTTTGTGGTTTTGTGTTGTGGTTGGATGGTTCGAATGGATGGATGGATTGAGGTGAATTTAGTTAAGGTTTCACTTCCTTGGTATCTTTTTCTGGATCACCATTTATTTGCGTCCATTCAGCGACCCACCCGGTTCCTTGACAGTCATGGCAGTCTTCCAATCCATGACTATCGCAAATTGGACACGCCAAAAAGTTTCCACCCATGTAAACTTGTTTGGTGCCACGACAAAAGCGACACGAGTGTGTCCCGGCACCACGACAGGATGTGCATTCGGCACTGCCACACGTCTTGGGGTCATCCACCAAACAATCTTGAGCACTTTCGGCCATCGTCCAATGCATTTCCAATCGCAATCGCGCCAGATCGCTGTCCGTCGTGGCAGACAGCCGAGTCGAGGTTCGTGATGGTGAAATATTATGGCTTGGTAGCACCCAAGCAGAGCTTTGACAAGTCAGTAGCAGCACCAGTGCCAACGAGATTCGACAAGAGGAAAAAGCCGATGGGGTCGTCATGGTCGTCTTTTTTTTTAATATTGGAGTGATGGGTTGTATTTGTGATTAATTAATTTTGTGGTTGCTTTTGATGGCCATCAAAAAATTCTGTGGAGAATGATGAATCGAATCAAAGGACGAATCCGATCACATCTTTGGGAATGTCGGAACACCAGCTGCTCCGAAGAATAAAGCAGAACAATGCTGACATCATTGGCAAGCCAAGTTCGCACCTTCTGTCTCTTACAATTAACAGCTGACAGAAAGCGAAGTGTCCTCGGAAATCATTATTTAACAGCACTGCCTCAATCTTGTGCCATCGGTTCTGTTCTCTGCCATCTGGAGTTTTCTCTCTGTCATTACACGGAACCTTTTATAAACTCGTAGAGCTGTATCCCAAGAGAACACGACTGTGGAGGTTCGGTACCTGGTACCAGTACAGTACCTGGTACCGGTCCGGTAAGCTAAGACCAGTCCGGCCGAAAGGTCTGGAGCAAGGGTGGGACCGGTTGGAGGAGCTCTAGCTAGCTCTAGATCTAGGAGGTGGGTTTCTTCATCCCGAAGCAACCAATTGTGCTTTACCATGTGCAGAAATGCAGCTTGGAACCCGAAGCAACCGTTTTGGCGTGGCTCGAAGCTTATGATGGGTAGAATCATTCTGTCATTGAATGTTGTCATCTCTGCAGAACTCCAACATGGACGCTGCATGGTTCTCTAACAAATAATATTCAGCGTCTACTAGCTAGCTCTCTTGCAAGTAGCTACTAATAGCTAGCTAGTAAGTAGTAGCATTCTCGCAATTTCTTTCCGCATTTGATGCTCAAAACTGATCAATCTACAGTGAGCCTCTCACAATTCACCCATCCCAGGTCATTGTCGCAGTCACCTAATACTGATGCATCACCGGTGTCATGAGAGCAGCTACAGGCTGCGGCAACCTTCCTTTCCACCGGTGGCGATCATCAGGAGGTTGCCAATGTGCTAAGGGGGGGATTAGAGTAGGGAAATGTGCTCATTTTTCTTTATTGCAGCCACTTTGAAGCGAAAGCAGTGCCTTGTTACAGCTTTTGGCAACGTATTCGATCATCTCGACTCTCACTCAACAATAATGTCGCCTCTACGAAACCTCATTTCCTTGGTCACCACTCTACCAGTACTGGTTCTCTTACAAGCACTTGCGTTTGTCCCTGTATCCGCGGATCATTGCAGCATCCCTCTCATCGATGGCAAAGACTTTTGCCTCCGAAATTGCATGCAAAAATATGGTTTGAACAACAATCATCATCACAGTTCTTACGTATTCGTATGTGATAGAACTGTACCTTGGATTCACCACATCACCCGCTCTCGAGACTGGCTTCCAGCAACGCCTCATGCCGGTTCTGGCATCCATGAGTATGCACTCTACGAAAGCGACGAACCTCCCTGTGATCGCCTCGGCCGCTGTCAGGCATGTTCCAAGCCGGAAAGGGCGCAGCACATGTGTTCCGTTTACATCAACCCTGAGGACTGCTCCATCACGTGTTGATAGAGGATGATCCGGTCTACGCTGGCTGGCAATTGAAAATGGCGACGACCCACTCGGCAAAGCTAGCAAGTTCGCAGGAGAGCAAGAACTGACGCCTCCTTTAGTATTAGTAGTAGTGGACCTTTACAGACACACCTGCAAAGCGCAATGAAACAAGATGCAATCCAGTCGAGTCGAAACGAGTGTATCATTCCTGTAGCAGCCACCCAAGTTCATACGTACGTACCAATCGCATCGAAGGAACCTAACGTTTTAGGAAAATCTATACGACACTAAGTTTACCTATGTGAACATGCGTGTGCAGCCCATACGGAATGTAGCTAACTGCCTTGCTGTGCATAGTTTCAGCACCGGGAATACGCTTGAGGCTTGTTGAAGCCCATAGAGCCCAGCGCTGTGCAAACCGGTCGTTTGTAAGGCTCGATGACACAAATCAAGCCGGTCACCAAGCCAAATCTTTGGAAAAAGCAATGACGACGTTCACTCGAGCGTCAGGCATCACCATGCACTGATCCAGGCTTATAAAGCTATTAGATGAGCTCAGTCCTCTGCGTTCTAGCTACTAGCTAGCTAGCTGGTACTCTACTCTCTTTGTCCACAGGCCCTTGTTGGCTGCCGCGAAAGTCACTCCTGTCCACTTCGAACGAACGGGAGTGGTCGCCGCGTGCGGCATGCAGTCACACATGCTGCATCGGTTTAGCGCGCTTTGTCGCCGGATGCGTGCAAGCAACACTTCAGCACCATGGTACCTGGTACCATATACGACTGTTGTGGACATCGTTTCACCATCCTACGAAGCTCACAAAACAAGAACAATCCAAAAGCAAAAACAAAGCTACAAAACCAAACAATACAAGCCCTAAGAAGAAACTGAAACATCCACATACTGCAACCAAATAAATTGAATCAAGCAAGCACCATAATACAGAGAAAGAAGACAAACAAAACAAAAGTGAAGCAACAAACACAGAAAACAACTGACAACACCAAAAACAGCCACGAAAACACCAAAAACAAAACTCCAAAACAACAGCAACACAAAAGAAATTTCCATTGAAAATGAAGCTAACCACCACATTCGCCCTATTAATCACCACTGCTCATTTTGCCCCATCATTGGCAACCCAAAAACCTAAACACTCCCTTCGTGGAAGTAACCCAAAGAACCAACAGAACCAGGATCTTACAGTAGTCTACCCAGAGTGTTATGAGACCAATCCCTCTTCATCAGTCCTGGCTGGTGCATTTGACTCTGATATTGAAGCCTACCGCTATTGCAAGTATGAGTGCCGCAATGATGTATCTGTCTGCTTGGACTGGATGTCAGCCTATCCTATGCCTGTCTACCCAGAGTGTGACGAGACCAACCCCTCTGGTGATGTTTTGGCTGGAGTCTTTGACTCTGCAAGTGAGGCATACAACTACTGTATCGGAGAGTGCCGAAAGGATGATGCTATCTGTCAAGTTTGGCAGGACAACTACCCTGAGACCAGGAAGCTTTCAGTAGTCTACCCAGAGTGTTATGAGACCAACCCCTCTTCATCAGTCCTGGCTGGTGCATTTGACTCTGATATTGAAGCCTACCGCTATTGCAAGTATGAGTGCCGCAATGATGTATCTGTCTGCTTGGACTGGATGTCAGCCTATCCTATGCCTGTATATCCAGAGTGTGACGAGACCAACCCCTCTGGTGATGTTTTGGCTGGAGTCTTTGACTCTGCAAGTGAGGCATACAACTACTGTATCGGAGAGTGCCGAAAGCATGATGCAATCTGTCAAGTTTGGCAGGACAACTACCCATAAGATGTTGCTGCTCTCATTTGATTGGCTTGGCAAGTAGTACAAAGCAAATGTCATTCCGTATTCCTACCGGTATAGTAAGATTTCAGTCTATCTAAACATAGTTTCAATTATTAAATGTATCTTAATTGATATGACTAGTTTTGGTTGCTCGTATATATGGTTAACTAACTTCCATAAAATGAAATGAAGTTGCCGCTGGTTGGCGGCGAATTGAAGCTCCATCCGGAGTTATAAGGGGGTTTTAGAGTAGGGAGTGCTGATGGATGAATCTTTAGATTGGAGGAGGTGAGCATATACCCGCAACCCCGCTTGCAACTCCATATAGGGAGGTTTGCGATGCCTCTGCCAGTCTTACAATGCTTCGATGGCCCCTTTTGGATTCTAGCTAACTGAATCAGCAGCACAATGCCTTAATTCTGTGTTGAGTGCCACTTGCTTGGTACTGAGGATCCACTACAATGCTCCGAGCTCCGAGAGCAAAAGTAGGGGCAAGAGTTGTGTCAGAACGAAGCACAGGTATCGCGGAACCTCTCTAGCCAACAGGCTTGAACGGAGAGAAGAGTCACTCAACTTACTCATTGATCGACTCTGGGATACGAAGGAAATGCGAGGATTCCGAAAGAAAGCGTGCCCCTTCGAAGAAATTCTCCTTGCTGTTTCGTTTGGAAACAGCTGAAGGAAGCTCACAGAGCAAAAAACAGTTCCCTCAAATCGCACAGTATTATCTGCTTCCGACAACATTATTATCAATACCGGTAGTACCGGTAGCACCCGCAGCACACGCTCACCAATGGAGTCGAACAGGGAGAACGCCGAGGCCGCAATAGTAGCTTGGTTGGAGCAAAGAGGCGCTACGACAAAAAGAACCGATGAAGCCTCTTCCAAGCTTCAGCGCGTGGTTCATCTCCCTTTTCTGGTCCGCAAGATGAAGTCAAGAGCTAGCCTTAGCAAATCCTGGAAGCAGCGAGGCCACTGCTACAATGGATACGCAGATTCAAGTGCAGAAAGATCCTTGGGCAAAAACAAGAGCGATTACATAGAGCTACAGTCGTTGTTGGAAGATGATAACAGCATGTCAGTCGGTACCAAGGGCACACGCAGCAGCAACCGCAGCAACGTAACCACTGATGGAGGCACCGCAAGACCAAACAACGGACAAAGATGCCTTCTTCAGCAATGCAATGCACCTAGAAACTCTCATGGAAGAAACCGAAGCTGACGATTTTGATGATTCCAGTGTGTCGTCAATGGGAAGCACAGACAGTGATAGTATGGACGATGAATTTGGGCAGTTGCCAAGTACCGAACGGAGTAAGCTGCTGACTCCAAAAAACAAGGCGAGACGAAAGAAAAAAGCCAAGGGCTTCTGCTCACAAATCAGAGCTCGGATTCGTCGTTGGAATAGCATTCTTGTCGCGGCGCATGCTTCGCCAGTACAAGGATCAATTGCATGACACCATGGAACGAGTCAGGCTCATCGCTGGAATAGCAGGGTTGGAAGCAGAAACTGACAAGGAAGGATTTGCCGAGATCTTGGCGGAGGCGGAGGATGACCCGTCTGTCCGGTCCGGGGCATCGCTAGTTGAAATGGAGCGTAAGACGCCATACATGGACACGGTGGCAACGTTCTCGACACCCACGGTGGAGGAAGATGAGCCCCTTCCTGACGGTGAAGACCCGACTCATAAAAACCAGGAGGATAAGTGGCAAGAGATAAAAGAAGAAATTGCGGCCGAGTTAACCGCTCAACCAGCTACCAATGCAATTCAAGATGGTGACGAGACCGAGCATGCTGTCTTGCCTGTCACTGAGAAGACCAATACCAGGTCCATGTCCGCCTATCAGCAGGTGTTCTCTGCTCTGGACCAGTACGAAACACCAGCAGATACAAGTTCCTCGGTAAGCTTGTCGGACGATGCAGACATCAGAGTGAGAATATTATGTATGTATTACTGACATTCTTGATTGGTCGTCATTGTTGACGTGATTGGGTCTCTGGCCTACGCTGAAGACGGAACCCTCGATGAGTCCCGTGCCCAAGGCTTGCTTCGCCTCTTCCCTCCCAATGGCGACGATATGGTTACCTTGACGGACTTTGTTCAGGCATGTGACGACGTCTACAAACGAATTCTCTTTCTTGGAGCCAGTATGAAAAGCTCGATTCTGGCTATTGCGGTTCGACGCCCGTTTGATCTGGGAGACCGGATCAGACTATCTTCGGGTTTGGCAGCTTCCTCTCCTGGGCTCGGTGATACGTGGATTGTGGTAAGTTCAGCCTAAGCTCATCAGGATTGAATTCTGTCATCATAAATTTGATCTCATCCTCTTCATGTATTCCACTGTACTAATCCAGGAGGACATCAACCTGATGACTACTACACTTCGATATGCTGCAACCAATGAAGTATCTACAATCAACGACTGTACTCTCTCAGAGGCTCGCATTGTCAACTGCGCCCGCTCAACAAATGCGATTGTCCGCTTCCGCATTGCATTCCGGGCTAGCGCCACTGCCGGCCAGTTGAAGGGATTTCGTCAAGAGCTTGAACTCTACTTGGAGAACCAACCTCAAGTTTGGACCGGGCTGGTCCAATTCGCCAATGATGGCATTCAAAGGGACGACTCGTACATTGTGTTTCTTATCGGTGTGCAGCATGTCAAGTCATGGCAAGAGCTTGGAAAGATTGTGGCCAACAAAGGAGAGCTGACGCGCGAAGCGGATAGGATTGCTAATAAAATGGAGATTCATTACAAGAGCCCCGAAGGCAAGATGAATGTGGAAGTGGTTCATAAGGCAGTTGATGTCAGCTAAGCGTGTCTGGATACAGTAGGTACATCTGCTGATTAATTAAACTACAAAACGATAACTTCATAGAAATATATACATGCCCACAAAACTCCTGAGCCAATTCGCATCAATCATATTTAAAGCCACATTGGGACAGCTGCTGTGAAGCCCAATTTCCCTGAAGACTCGGGAAGACTTGATTCACTGGAGTTCTGCTGCAAACCTGCAGGGGATCTGCTTTGAGAAAGCTGGAGACTCATGTTGGCTTCCCGCAAGAGTTTAGAAAGCACCCGGCTGTGGAAGGAATCGGGTCGTCTTGTTACAATATCCCAAGGAGTCAAACCATGGACATTGGCCTGATACAGTGCCATAGGATGGGCTTGAATCAAGGCCAATACCACATCCATGCTCACAAAGCCTTGACATGCCATGTGAAGTGGCAAGTCTAGGTTTGCACCCGAGGCAATGGCGGCTGAATTTGGTAGTGCCTGTAGCAGAAAACAGTGGGTTTCTGAATCTTGGGGTCTTGCATTCAACGACAAAATGAGCGGTGTCAAGCCTTCTGGGCCATCCTTTTGTGTCAGTAGAGAGGCGCTCGCTTGGACAATGGCTTTCACAATTGGCAGGCTGGTACCATGTCTCAAGGCATTGTGAAGGGGAGATGTATACAAATCATCCAACTGGATAGCGCTTTGGAACCCTACCGGAGAGACCCGTGGGCTTGTTTGTTCATAGTTGGGGTGCCCAATCGAAGAATAATTGACATGACAAGAAGTAAGAGTGGGAGAGACAGTATGCGGGACGGTAGCAAGGTCTGATTGGCTAACAAGGTCCATGAGAGGTGGTGGCGCTGAGACAGGACACGGCACTCTCTTGCTACTTTCCAAAGCATCGGGCTTCGTGGTCGCAGTTTCTTTGTAGTCAAAGCTGGATTCCCACGTTTCATCTTGAGGCTGCCACATTTCCAATGGATCAAGGGTGGACGACGGATCAGCCACATGAGCAAAACTCTCCATGAAGAAGTCCGAAAACTCTGGATGATCAAAGACATCTAGTAGGGGGCACGAGTCATCTTCTTTCTGGGCAGGACCAAGCAGCTCTTTGGAGATGGGCCTTACGTTGGAAGCCGCGGATGGCAATCGGGGTTTCATGGGCATGGCTTTCATGGTACCAAGTGCAAGGGTATTTACATTGGTAGGAGATGGTGAGGGAGTGCAGTTTTTTGAAAAGCAGCAGCAACAAGTCCTGTTGACTGCGACGCAAATATTGTGTTTTGTTTTCCCACCCAAGTAAGTGTCAACTTGGTTGTCAGTTCGTGGTGAGCTGGTCGACTGCGAGGTGATGGCTCGTGCAAACGTGACTACAATCATGAAGCTCCTTCTCGGAATTGTAAGTCTTAAGGTTACCCATGACTTACTAGTAAGCAAGAAAAATGTCCTGGACTTCCAAAAGCGCTTTTCAGCATAGATTTCACTTACGTCACTATACTTTGTTTAACGGGCATCTTCCCAGACTCCGATAAGGCTTTCAGTACATAAGAAGAGGAGAACCCCATTCCCTCATGTTGTTGCAATTGCCGAGAAAAGCTTCGTTCGGCTCACGTGTCGGGCGACAATTAGGCGACATGATGTCAAGAGTTGTGATGTTGCTGCCGACATTTGAACCATCAACTCGCCATCAGGAAAAGGATCCACTAAGCGGGAAGGGTTACATGTAATAGCGGTCTTCTGTCACTCTCTTGCTACCTGGTCTTCACCTTGTCAAGACTTAGTGGCCTAGATTTACTACAGCGTACTAGGTACTGGCATTAGACTTATTTGCGGCCATCCCTCTAATCCATTTCATTTCAGGCCTCTCATTCACTAAGAAAGTCAGGACTTGGCAAACTGCCACATCGAGACCAAGGTGAGATGCTCTGTTCTTGGCCCAACCAACCAAAACTCACCTTTGGGTCAAGGCAGGTTCTTCTCAAGCCAATTGCAAGGGTCTACACACAAGCAAGATGAAACCATAAATCCAGCTTGCATACCAGGTACGTTGAAGAGTGCGTACACAATGCTATGTGCACGTGGACATGTGCCCACAACAAGCGCCTAGAGTTATTAGGTCATTCTTTTAAGCCCTTGTTATTTCACTCACCGGGTGCAAAGGGGCGGTCTAGCTAGGTTTTTAAAAAGCAAAACCTTCTATCGGACGATGAGCTGTTTGAAGCTGTGCGGTTCGAAGATGGCTATAGTATCTACCTTTACCCGATGCTGCGCTGGCTGCTTGATCAAGGACACGAGCAAACTAAGCAAACTAAGCAAACTTAGAAAGTATCATACGAGCGACTGCACAGTATGCAGTTATTGAGTGTAACTTATGAATGAGAGCACTACAATTCAAATAGAGTCAAAGCTCGGAGGCGACGGTTGTGCAGAAAGCCAAAATGACAAAGGGTCAAGTGATCTGGCACTCCATTGTTGGAAAGACTCGTATTGCGTTGACCAGGCGCTGAAGGCCCCTGATGATTCATTCACTTGGTCGTGGTTGGCTGGGGCAGCTTGCTGCAAGAGTTTAAGAAGCTCCCGATTGCAGAGTGAATCTGGCTGCTCCGCAACGATATCCAGAGGTGTCAAACCATGAGCATTGGCATGGCAGACTGCCATGGGATTGGCTTGAATTAAAGCTGAAATCACACCAATGTCAACAGGACCGCAGCAAGCCACATGGAGTGGAAGGTCGTGTCTTGTGTCAGAAGCAATGGCTGCTGCCCTTGGTAGTGCTTGTAGCAGAAAGTAGTGGGTTTCTGAATCTCTGGGCCTGGTCTTCAAGGACATAGTAAGGGGTATCAAACCTTCTGGGCCATCCTTCTGTGTCAGTAGAGAGGTGCTCGCGTGGACAATCGCTTTCACAACTGGCAGGCTTGTACCATGTCTCAAGGCAACGTGAAGGGGAGATGAGTAGGCATCACCTAGCTGCATGTTGCTGGGGATAGGAGCAGGTTCTGCACTTGTGCTTCTTTGTACATGGTTGGGATGCTCCATTGAAGAATCAATGGGATGGCAAGATGTAGGAGAGGGAGAGACAGCATGTGGGACAAGAACAGATTCTGGTTGGTCCACAATATCAAGGTGAGGTTGTTGTTGTGCAGAAACAGGACATGGTGATGTCTTGTTTACATTGGCTTCGACTGCCAATCCAAGCTTCATGGTCACATCATCACCGTAGTCAAAGCTGGAATCCCATGTTTCTTCTTGCAACTCCTGGACTTCTGAGGTATCCAGGATGGACGATGAATCACACACAGGGGGGAAACTGACCATGGGTTCCAAGTATTTGTTCTTTGCGTCAGCGCCATCATTGATATGATCCAATGACATGAGATCGCTGCGCTCCGAAGTATCAGCTAACTCTTTGGAGATGGGCAGGACGGTGATATTGCCCCATGTAGGCAATCTGGGTTTCGTGAGCATGATGACCTGCATTGTCGTGCATTGGAATCAGAATGGAATAGTGGGCCTATCGAGAAAAGAAAGCTTGCGGAAAGGATTCGGTGATGAGAACTGGTTGCAGATGTGTTCGATTTTGGAGGCATCCAGTAACAGTTGCAGCAACTGTTGCCGCGTATTTGAGCACTCGTACCATGATCTGCTCGCTCTGTTGGCTGCTCTGCTGCCACACAATCCTGACGCAAGAGAGATCCTTCCGATTTTAGTTTACTCCTGCGTCGAAACCACGAAGCGTAGGACAACGCTCGACGTAAAGAATATGAAGCTGAATTGAATTATGATGCACTTTCGTAGAAAGAGCCGCATTAATGTCGGCCTTGTGCTATTGTGTTTCATGCAGAACTGTTCTCACAACGTAAGTAGACTTTCACAAGTTCTGATACAACGTGACTCTTGCAGACTTATTCATCTCCGCTGAATTTGAACCCAAAGCATGGTAGCGGTGCCGTCAGATTCCTAAGATATTTTTTTGGCTTGCACTGTGCGTTACGGGATGGGGACGTGCGGGGGACCAAGATGCGCATCCCACCAACACAACGAAAGAACGGATAAGGATGCTGTAGCAGGATAAGGACTCGATGGCTGCCGTAGCAGGATACTAAGCAAGGGCGGATGATGCAGCGAAGTGCATGGCTCCACTTGGCTGGTTGTTGTTCGCCATGACCTACCGGTACCGTAAGCACCAAAGCTGCATCCAGCACCTCCGCCATCTCCTTGAACCATACCGGTATAGAACCGGTACGGTACACTACCGTACCCCTGGAGCTGCTCCAGGTCCCCACCAACCCATGTCCATCACCAGGCTCCTCAACTACTAGTAGGCTCCACAATTGCCTGCCTGGTCCTTGAATTCAGCAGGCCGCCTGTGCATCACCCCTAACGGATGCAGGCAGACTGGACACAGCCCCTCAGTTTCTTGTTGCAGGGCAGTGAATTCAATCAGAAGAGTGATCTGGGCTGAATGTTTTTTTATATAAATGCATAGCTACCGGTACAGGACGCACAAGAAGCAAGCCTGACTAGACCACAAAAGCAAGCAACAATGGCTCAAGCTGAATTCCCTAATAGTACGGTATCATTGAGAATTAGCACTAAGAACCTGTGGCATCATCATCATCGTCAAGACAGGAGCGAAAGAAATGCACAAGGCCACCGTGTCTTTTGTGATGCAAAAAGGGAGTTTCCGTCAAGTTTTTGGGATTGCCACAAGGTTGGAGGCCGAGCCTTGGGGACCTTGTTGATGACTGCTGTGTGTGTGAAAGCAGCTTAGCTGGATCATTATTGGTGTGCGAACCCTCGCTCGATGAAGAATCTTTTAAATAAAAGGTAGTTGCGGTAAAATAGGGGTCAAACTGCTCCAAAGGATAAGTAATTGTTAAATATGTTTACCTTGCCTACCAAATACACAGATGTGTCTTCCTGGTTTCTGTGCAGTTCTTGAGTGATCTGAATCGATCTGATGTTAAATAGGTGGAAGGGGCAATAGTCCAAAAACTTGGTTGATAAAATCTTGATAAGCACTTGTTGAAGGTGATCTGTCAGTGCAATACATGTAATAGAAGCTCTTTCAATCAAGAAGCTCATCAAGCTTAAAAGCACGCACAACCATGGCCGGAAGCAGCAACGCTGCTATTGCCTGCTATTAGCTAGATGCTTGCCCTCACTCTCCATAATCCATCCACTCGAAAGAGACAATGAAGAGCGATGCTTCCAGCAACAACAGCAGCAACAGCAGTGGTGACGAGTCGAATGATGGAGTGGATATGACACAGATCCGGTATACTACTACTACAGATGAGAATTCACAAAGACGACGACGACAAGGGCACGTCATGGTGTTGCTCCCACTGACGACCATCCACGACGATACCCGTGAATTGGTGGAGTTTCGTCTGTACGTGGAAATGGCAGCCTTCTTGGCGTTTACGCATTTGCAAACACGGGATGGGAGTGTATTACCCTTTCTTCCCGATCGACTGCAAGGCTGTGATTTCGATTTGACGTATCGTCATCACGATACGCGATTCTCGGCCATTCAAGCATCGCGACAAGTCGTCAGCAGTTATCAAAACACAATAGCAGAACAAGACGACGACAACAGTACTACTACAGATACTCCCCCATTTTGCATTCTGGGCGCGGCTCGATCGGTAGTATCGCAAGCCGTGAGTTATTTGGGCTCGGGTCTGGAACTGCCGCAAGTGAGTTCCTCCAGTACAGCGTCGTCGTTGGACGACAGTCCCTTTTTTGCCCGCACCGTTCCCGTGACGGGAGATGCCGAAGCCATGGTCTATTACATGCGACAAGTATTTGGGGTCACCCACGTCGGACTCCTGTTTATTGACGATACGTGGGGACGACGCTACGAAACCGATATTACCGTGGCGGCAGAAAAATACAACATGACGGTCCGGACCGTCCCCTTTGCCAATGCCCTCGAGAATCGAGATGCTACCGTCATTCTCGACAATGCCATGCGACAATTGCAACAAACACAACTCCGCTATTTCATTGCCGCACTCAGTCCCAGTACGTGGCGGCCCGTCGTCAAAGCGGCGTATCACTATCAACTCATGGGTAGTACACATCCTACTACTACTAGCGATAGTAGTGATGCCGAATATGTCTGGCTACTACCCGATTTGGTAGAACTCGTGGGAGACAGCTTTTCTTTGGACGCCGACACCGAACTGGATATTGCCAATGCATTACACGGAGTGGGAGTTGTCAATATGGGAATGACACCGCATTCGGTACTCGATGCCAAACTGGCAGACGCTAGCCACAATCCACAATTCCAACAAGACTTTATCCGTCATCACGATGAACCTCAACTATTGCAAGATTTTAACTTTTCCACCCCGATTCGATCCCTCTATCAGTATTTGACGTACGATGCCATGATGGCCATTGGCATTACCGCCTGTGAAACACCGGGACTCTTTACGGGACAACAGTTTTACAATCAACTCCTCCAAATTGATTTTGAAGGCGTCACGGGACGCGTCCTGCTCGATCCAAAAACGGGTACTCGGGCCGGAGCCGACTTGCAATTCCCCATTGTCAATTTGATTTTACAACACAACGCCACGCAAAAAGGACGAATATCCTTTACACCGCAAGTCGCCGCCCAAGTTGATCTCTTGACATCGTCCACCACACCCGTCATTCAAATCTTCCATCCCTTTCTCCACAGCAACAACTCGACCCAACCACCACCGTCCCTGCCACCCTTGCACGTCAATCGTCATTTAATACCCAATGGAGTGTTATTTTTTGGAATTGCCTTGGCAATTGTGGTCATGTTGCTGTCGGTAGGGTTGGGAATTTGGGTGCTCGCCAACAAGAGTCTCTACATTATCCGAGTGGGACAGCCCATTTTCTTGGTGCAACTGTGTTTTGGAACCTTCCTCGTGGCACTCACAATCATTCCGCTGGGGTGGCAAGAAGACAAACCGGGTTTGGATGCGGCGTGCATGGCCGTGCCATGGTTGTTCTGTATTGGCTATGCCATTGCCGTATCGGCACTCTGGTCCAAAGCAGAACGCATCAATCAACTACTCAATTCCGGACGCAGTTTTCGACGGCTCAATGTGCAGCCCAAGGATGTCATGAAATCCACTCTGATCTTGTTGGGGACCAATCTGATCTTATTAACCGCCTGGACAATATCCCCCTGGAAACTCAGTTGGCATCGACAAAACTTGTCGGGAAACAATGTGGATTCGTTTGGACGGGCGTTGGAATCCTATGGAGCCTGTAGACCGGACAGTCTGTTGCACTTGTGCTTTACCGTCCCGTTGATTCTGACCAACCTGGTAGCATTGCTCATGACAACCTATCACACGTACCGGGCCCGCAATTTGCCAATGGAGTTTTCGGAAACGTTGTATTTGTTCATGTCCTTGATCAGTGTCTGTGAAACGATCCTTCTGGGTGGTAAGTTCACGAATGAAATAGTAAAATGGAATGGAATGGAATCGAATCGAATCCAGCTGGCTTGTTTGTTCCTCATTTCTCTTTCTCTCTTGTTCGTGGTTGTTGTTATCTTACCTACCAGTCCCAATCATTTTTGTGGTCTTTGGTAACCCATCGGCATACTACTTGATTGCCTCGATTGTCCTCAGTATCGGTTGCTTGGCCATTATAGTGCCCATGTTTCTTCCCAAATATCTCCAACGGCATACCAAAGCTCCCAAAGGGCGAGCTTCCTCTCAGGATTTGTCCCGCCTCCAAGCCCGCAGCGGCCTTGGATCGGAAGCCTCGGAACACCAGCGCCGCCAGCAATCTGGTACGAGGTTTGTGGCAATACTCGGAGACAAGAATGGTTCCAGTAGAGAAATTGACTCACTTCGCCAGGAGCTCAAGCTGATACGAGATGGAAGCAAGAGAGGGCTGGATAACAGTTCCAATCCAGAATTCCCGTTTATGAGCAAAGAGCATCCTGTCTTTTCCGACGAGCTGAATACCCCTTCCCAGCATTGAGGCAACGCTGTACCAAAAATGCAATTCTGAAACAAGAGCACGGTTGTGCGTCTCCCGGCTCTGTATATCACGGGCCCTACTCCGGATGCCTACTACCGAGCTGCTGTTCTACATGCAACTATGCATGCATGCGCTTCGGCAGTGGGCGCGTTGCGTTTTACCAGTCTGCAACTTAAAGTTGCAGTGTATATTCTATAGCTACACAAAGTACATGTAACACTCATGAAATAACGGATGTATCTTACTAATAGCAGGACAGCTATGTTTGCAACAATATAGTGTATTAAGCGGTTGCGAGATGGGCCCGAGATCGAGCAACCCTGTGAAATGCATGATAGACAGACAAAAAAATGGTAACAGCACGGGAAGAATCCACCACTGTAGGCGAATGAATCGAATTCAATCCAATCGAATCCAGCCAGATCAGATCAGATCACCGAAGCAACTGGAGGACTTGTTGACGGAACAATGATGATTCCGGTTGATTGCATGCAATGGCCAAAGGAGTCAACCCTTTGCTGTTGGAATGGTATAGGGCAGATGGATTGGCTTGAATCAAGGCCATAAAGACCTGGATATCAACTTGCTGTTGACAGGCAATGTGGAGAGGGAGCTTTTGTCCGTAGCTGCTAGCTAGGCGGGCTGCCTTGGGCTGTGTCTCAAGCAGGTACCGATGCAATTGTTTGTCTCTCGGGTTTGTTTCCAGTGACAGGGCCAAGGGCGTCAGGCCGTGAGGACCATCCCTTTTCAGCAACACGGAAGGACCTGTTTGAACGATCAATTTGAGAACAGAGAGGGCAGTCCCTTGAGCAATGGCAATGTGGACTGGGGTGGTATATAGCGCAGCCAGCGACTGGCTGGGGCCTCCCGTCCTCGACCCAGTCTCTGATTCGGAGTCCGAGATGAAATGAGAATCTGATGTCGCCCCATGAAAGTCATGAGAAACGGTCTTAGTCGGTTCGGTGTGCTGCATCAACACGGTTTCAACGGCATCTTCTTGCATCAGCCGTTCGTTGTCCTCAGAGAAGATCAGGATATCTACTTGGTTTGGAACAAATGAGTAGCGATCAGGAGCAAAGCTCTCAATGGTTCCCATTGACTCGAAGGACACGACGGAGTCTGTTTCATCCTGGTTCGAGTTCGTCGCAAGAACGCTTTCCTGATTATTGTGAGCCTCGTTTCTCGCTGAGAAGCTGTCGTTGGCTTGATCAGTGTCCATCAACTCTTTGGATATGGTGGGGGCCACACGAGGGGATACGATACCGGCAAGTGCCAACCGAGGCATCAAGGGAAGGGGCTGCGTCTTCATGGTGATTATTTGATTGATTCTCAAACTGAGGCTCGAGGAACTGAATGTGTTTGTGCAGGAAAGGAAAGGAGGAGATTCGATTCGAAACTGAATTGGAATGAGAAAACTTTCTCACAAACTACTAAAAAGCATTCTCATCATCAAGAGTCAAGAGGGGTTCTTTTCGAACACTTTTCTTCCGCACATGTTCATCCCGATGTCAGGGAAAATATGCCTTATCGACTGATCCCACCTCTAAGATCAGAGTTTTAACTGGTTAAAACCGGATGTGTCTCTCCCAAGAACAACAGACCTTTTACATCAAGCGTCTGTTTCAGAGCTTCAATAGACGAACTATGACGGTCCAGAAACTTCCCAGCCAAGAAGAGAACGCGAAGAGGCCTTTCCTACAGTATAGTCCATGACACATGACACAACTATCTTCTATCTTCTTGCTAGCTAGCTAGAGCTATCATAGGTTTCGTACCAGTACCGGTACACTGTGCTCTGCACTACCAGTAGCAAAAAAGGCTCTATGAGAACTCAGAGTGCCGCTTTTTGCCTGCTCTTAGATCGTATCTCTGGCTACATCGTACCGTATCTTCCCATGCTCGAAGCGGAAAATGCAGAGAAGTTCCCAATCTGTCGCTTCAAGCACTGAGATATTACGCAATCTGGTACCGGATCTCTCCACCGCGTTCCCTTCGATGGGCCATTGACCAAGCTGACTACTGGAGTTGCATTCTTCTGTTCTCTATTCTGCTTGCTTCGAATTTCGTTTTCCTGGTCTTTCCTTACCGACCTTTGCGTGGAAAGGACGAATGAATTGGACTGTTTGGATTGCTCCCTTTCTTGCGGTTTGGATGGTTAGTCTCTGAGTATGGTTCTCTTTATGGCCTCGCGCTCCCCGCTTCGTGCCTGTGGGCTGGGAGCTGCTGTGGCCGCTTACGTGAATCAGCCGTCAGCCACTAAACACTGGAACATTATCGCACGAGAGATCATCCCAGGTTCTTTCGCAGAGCGTTGCACCTCACATACGAGCACACCACCAATTTTTAACTCGCTCCTCAGCCATTCTTGGCACGCACGGTACCGAAATCTTATGAAGAGCCTGATCACAGAAACTTGAAAATAGATATCACAGACCCAAGAATCCCACAACCAACTGAGAAGTCCGTGGCAATCATCTGTTCATGATTTCCTTGTAGCAAAACTAGTAAGTTTACAGGTTCACACCGGGCGGAAAGCAACTCGTGCCACAAGGAGTCACCGAGTAACTCGTGGTTTTTTATTTGATGATGATGCCGTGAAAATGAATTAGAGATTTTGGTTTGCACTTGCAAATGAATATCATGAGCCAAATCATCAAAGTTACGGCTGCTGACGATCGTATTGTAGTATGACTTTTTGCTGCGGCTGGGACGACATCATTGACAATGAGGTCATTCGGAAAATGCAAAAACAAGGTCGCAAATCGTTTATGATGAGATCGGCCATGTTCAGCAGAGCCTTTGCACGCCACTTCTGACGTACGATGCACTAGTTGGCTCGTTTTCGCGTTGTCATCGCCACGCACGTCCACAAGAGTTGGCTTTCGACCGCACTGAGCCCAGATGTTGCCTCCAAGCAGAAATTCCAAGGCTAGTACGGTAGTATTTATTGAAAGCTGAGAATCGAATCGTATGATCAATCGAATGATTGAATCATTCAATCCAACCGAGCAATTGGGAACAATTTCCATCCTGAACAAGTTTTTTTAAAAGGAACTCCACTGATCGTTGGAACTCTTTGTGCTTCTACTGCACTGGAAAGATGCTGCCACCACCGACTGACCGATCACTCCTGGGAGCAGCAAACGCGGGGGGAGTGACAAAGTTCTCGTCACGCTCACACATCAAATTGGGTTCTCAAGGCTGAAGGCGAAATTCTCATTACGCAGTCCTTGTATCTTCTCATCGCATCTACATCCACACTCTTCATCTACATCCACATAGTATCATCATCAGCCAGTCAACGAAGAAGCATCATAAACGAAAACGATGAGGTCCTTTGTTAGTCTTTCAATTCTCTTGTATCCACTGTGCATTCATGCCGCGGCGTTTGTTGACGGGCGACACCCACTGTTTGGCTTGAGAGGAGGGTACGCAATCTTCAATTTCACTTTGTGCTCATTTGTTTTTCCATGTTTTCCTTTTGGCCATGGTGGGACTGATTCCTTCTTGTTTTTCTTGCTAGAGCTGATAAGGACAATGACTACGACCGTGCTGAAAAGGCAATCTTCCACGGCATTGAGCAGGTAGAAGCGAAGTTACAAAAGGCTGTCGAAGACGAAGTTCACTCGATTTTCGACGAGGCAAGTGATCACCACCACCGCACGCAAGTTGCGGATCACGCCAAGGCGGCTGTGACCAAAGGGAGCTCCAAAATCAAAGAGGCCGCCCGAGAGCATTCCAAGGCTCGTTCGATGCCGTTTCTGCCAAAACACGCCACGAAAGAGGAAAACGACGATCACAAGATCCTACATGCCATTGAAGCCGCCGAGACTGCTGTCTTGCACGCTGTCCAAGACGAAGTGGACAGTCTGTTCCATGCCATTGGCCATGAAGACGACCATCCACTCCAATCGAGCTGCCCCAAAAAGGCAAAAAAGACCAAGGAAGGAATTCAAAAGGGACTCCAGAAAACCAAGGAGCACGTCGAAGAGGCCCACGAGGAACGAAAGCGATGGATGCGCGATTTGGACGCCCCGGAGATTGACGATTATCTCAAGTCTGTCAACAGTATGTATGGAATGGGGTTCTAACTAAAAAGAAAAACAACAATCCAATCCGAAAAGGCGCACGATAAGTATCCCAGCCCCAAAAGCTAGCTATCCATCTAGAGTGATCCCCGTGTTCATGTATTAAAAGAATCAAAACTAAATCTACTTATAGCTTATTGTGCTGCCATTAACTCGTTCTTCTTTCCGGTTTGTGCTTCTTCGTCCGTGTGCAGGTCAGCCTCAGCCTTCGCTTCTCCGCTTCTCCCTTGCCCGGTTGAATCATTCCAAATGCAAGCCAGGTCCATGTGCGCTTCTATTTCACCTGACTGACAATGGCAGAACCCGGCACTAGCGGGGCATGCCCATTGTTCATACGTCGGGCCTCCAAGCCCTCTTGCCCAGTGAGCAGGACAACATTTGGATTGGTTTGAGCCGCAAGAGCCAAAGCTTGCGTTTTGAGAAGGTCATTCTGGATCTTCAAGAGTTCCACCAATCCCGGACTTTTCCGCAGCAACTCGGCCTGCTGCGTCAAAAATTCAAGCTGTGCTTTGTTCTTCTCTTGGGTTTCTGCAATCTCACCCTCGGCCGCCAATCTTGCCGCGTCACGCTTTCCCTGTGCACGGACGCGATCTGATTCTGCCTCCGCGGTTGCTTTGGCCAGTTCCACTTCTTTGGTCTGGTTTTGTTGTGCCAAAGCAAGATTCTTTTCGGCTTCCACGACAAGGGTGTCCATTTCGGCCTTTTTGGTGATGGTTTCTGCTTCCGCCTTGTTCTTGCGGCGTTCCACTTCCTGTTGGCGTTCCTCGGCCTCGGCCTCTCTGTCACGATCCTCCTGCATGCGAACGTGGGTGGCCTGGTTCAGTCGGCTGATTTCTTTTTCCTTGGTGGCGTTCTGACGGCTCGTTTCAATGGCCAGATTGGTCTCGGCGAGTTGCAGCGCCAGTTGTTCGTCCTGCTTGTCAACGCTGGGGAACCGCAAGGTTGTAATTTCAATCCCCAGCACTTTGACGCCATAGACACGGCCCGTATCGTTGAGTTCCGCCGACCATTGGTGCTCCACTTTGGTAAAGCCCTTGGATTTTTCTTCCAGAGCGTCAGCGTAGGGGACGGACAAGAGCCAATCCCGCATCATGTTGGCGCATTTCTCCTCCAACATGTCAAATGGATCGGTAAAGGCACCACGATGCGCAACCCAAACGTCAGGACGGACTTGTTGCCATTTGATCTGAGCCCGGCAGATCGCATCGATATTGTCTTTGGATTTCAGTTCCAGGATAGGAGTAGATTTTGCGTAGTGGTTCGTATCTCCAAACTCAATCTCCAGATCGTCGATTGTTGCTTTGGTGTCTTTGTTTTGAATTGTGGAGTTTCTGAAAAAGTCTTGATTGCCAGAAGCCATGCAGATTCCTTCCGTGACACTGATGCGGTTCCTGGCATCCTTGTGGAGCACCACAAATCCTTTCTCGGGCTTGGCAATGGTGACACCAGCAACTGTGGAAACGTAGCCTGCTGGAATGAACCGCAGCTTTGTCTCGATCATTGTGCCATGAGCTTGGTTGCTTGCCTTGGGGCGGCCGTGCTGATTGACCATCTGGGTGCTGTTGCCAGACGTGACGCTGGCCACGGTATCTTCAGTCTCCCGTTCGACAATGACGGGTGTCATGCGATTCAAGTCAATGACACCGCGCATGATGGTGTCATTGTCGTAGACATAGGTTCCTTGACTGACCATGTGCGTAGCTGTCTGATCTTCAAAGACCCCGATTTGCTGGGCTTGAAGGACAATCATGCGGTAGCTTTGTCCCAATTCCATGTGGCGAATCAGTGGATTGCGGTTGGCAGTCTCCTGGAGAGGATCGAATTCCACTCCCGCTGTGCGGCTAATTGGGACCACGGCCCCATGAGTCTTCCAGGGATTCAACAAAGTGGTCCTGTAGGCTCCAGGAGGTCTCAAGACGACCGAGCCATTGCTCAGAACGACACCAACCTGGTCTTCGGCAACGCGCATACCGGGAAGGAGAGAGTTGCAACCCTTGGAGACTGGGGAATCACCACCAATGCATGCCGCCACACGGCGCACCCCATCCAAGAAGGATTCTCCGCTTCGAAGTCTTGTCATGCCGAGGGGTTCATTGTCGGCATCCCATTCCGGCACTGCGAAATTGGGAGCCTGAATCATGGGCGGCAGTTCAGGAATGACTTCGGCTTCGGTGGGGGCAGTGGCGGTGGCGGTGGCAGGGTGTTGTTCCATCATTGCTTCTTTGTTGTTGGTTGTGGTGGTTGCTGTTCTGTTGTGTTGTTGGTGTCTGTTTTCGTTTAGTAATTTGTGTTTGTGTCCTTTTGTGGGGAATTTATGACCCGAAGAAAGAGTTGTCCAAAAGGGTCACCTGTGCTAGCTAGAAACCAAGAGTACCGTACGGTACCAGTACCGTTTCAGTACGGCACATCATGACACATGACATTGTTATGTATGTATCTTTTGTGTGAAAACGGGGCAAGACTCAAGTTGTTAGTCACGCGTGTCATCAATGGTCACCCACAGCAATCACTTTTTGCTAAATGGTTTGACTCAGCAAGACTGTTCTTAATTACTGTATTTCAGTCCTCTAAAAGGTAAGATCCACGACACAGCTCTTTGGAATTCTGGAGGAAACTGTTCCGACGACGTGGTGCTGGAAGTTCCACGCTCCACGAGCTTGGAAGCCACGTTTTGCGTGATTTTACCCTGAACCCTTTATTGTCCTCCAAATCGCCAAATCGCCATCTGGTGGGTGGATCCTGTTGCCACGTTTCACTTGGCATTCGAGCTTCCTTCGAGCTGCCTCGAGCATCACCATCACCAGCACCCTTCGGCTGGTCTAGCTAGAGTAGCTGTGTCCATTACATCCAGCTCTATTATAGTAGCACAATAGTATAGTAACCATGAAAGGACCACTGGGAGGCAACTTGGTCTTGGCATCAGTGCTTTCTTTGCTGTCTTATGTGCCATTTGAAATCGTGGCCAAGGGAAGTTTATTGGTCTGTGTCTTTCTCTTCATTGCAGATCCTTTTCCACCGCATTCCCGGTTGGTCAGTTTGATCTCCACGGTGGTGATTGGCTTCTTGTCAAGGGCTCATCGCAATTGGCAAATACAGCAGCTACTAGACGAAGACGCAGAAGAACAGGAAATGGAACCGTCATTGTCAAATCAACAACAGCCAGCAGATACACCCAGTCCCAGCACGGGAACCAACAACACTTCCAAGAATGAACAAGAGGAAGAAGGAACTGATGCGCCCGAGGTTTCCACAAGTAATAAGAAAGAGAATTAGCCCTCCCTAAAATTGAAAAAGAGTGTGCTGGGCTGATCAATGGCGTTGGTGCACACCATCACATTCCAATTTTGCCGCTACCAGTACATGTATAGGCAGTTGGCGGGAAGAAGATAGTACCATGTTTGCAAACATGAGCCCGTTGCCCTAGCTAGCACATGCACTCCTCTCCCACCCCGAATAGCTCAACTCCTTCGGTTGACATGTACATGTACTGTATGTCTGTTCACATACCGTACCAAGCTTTGGCCATTGCAGGACGCAAGCAAAGAACCTAGTACTTGTCTGCATCTGTAGTCTTCCATGGACAAGAGCGCCTAGCTGTGTTTTAGAAGTACGCAAGACGAATGTGGCTGGCTTCCCAAAACCTGTACACGGTGCTTGCAACCCAAAAGGAGCTGCCGAGCTGCCACATGTTCGCCGAGCCAGGCTTCTCTGACTGGCTGTCTTTGCAGTGCCATCTTTGGTTCCATCAGTTCAGTTTATGAAGTCACTCGTCCGGCTTGTAGAAGCGGTTGTGTGCGTGACTGTCCCAAGTCAGAATAATTAATTGAAGCAATGCACTGTTACTTTGGTTTTAACTCTATAGTGACGAAAAGTATACTTCCGACAACATTCTTCTTATGGTTCAGGTTGCTTGCCTGGTGGCGCGACAGAGTGTATGTATGCACGAAGCCCGCTTCACGATGGTGCTGTAGCTTGCGCGAGATGCGTTCGTTTTTCTTGAAACCGATTTGCCTTCTGGAGGACTCTATCAATCATATGGAACGTAATGTCGTTCATCACTTTTGTGCGGCGAATGCGCGGGAGTGTACGTGGCCCCATGCTTTCTTCATCACCACCATTATTTCCATTGCCTCCAGTGGTATTCGGGCTACTAGTATTCTCAAGGAATTGCGGTGGCTCTTGTTGCTCTGGTCTCAATAGCTCACATGATATACTCAAATTGCCCACAATGAGATTGAATGCTAGGCGGGCGACCATCCACTTTATGCCCAGGACTAGCGTCTTGGCATCTTCGTCGCTTGTAGCCTCCAAAACGACCATTTTGTTCAATGGTACTTGAGCCGTGCCGCCTCCTGGGGAGAACCAGTCGGCACTGGTGGAGCGCATAGCATGACTGGCTGACCGGTTCAATTGTATCACCAGTGTTCTTGATGGCATGGAGTATGGGAATGCTTCCAAGAGTTTCAAGAAGGATGCTGACATTGCTGAAGCAGTGTCAATGGAAGCAATATCAAAGATGTCTATGTGGTCCAATTCTTCCTGTTGAAGGGCTCCAGAGGAAAGCGTCTCGTGATACCAAACCAGTCGCGGGGAATTCCAGGCTTTGGGAGTGAGCGGAACATCGTGAGAACCACCAAAACCGTCTGAAGACTGCCCGGCAGCGTTGGATGCCGACTGTAGTTGGAGATAGGCCCTGACCGAATCTGGGTGAACACCGGATGTCGCTGATACAACTGAAGCGCTAGAATTCCCGGGAGGACCGTCGCTAGTAGTGGGAGCTCTATGCCACAACAACGGCACGCCGTGATGACCGAGACCAGCGACAAAGTTCTTGATAAAGTTCGAATCACTCTTATCCAATTTGGAAATCGGTGGGATGCTTGCCTTGGGAGATGTCTTGGCAATGGTGCTTTCGTCAAACGAAACCGACTTGACGCTGTGTAGTGATGCTTTGCTGGTTCGGGAGAGGTCGGATATGACACTGCCGGTTGGACCAGTCTTGCCGTCAGAAGCACTAGAGTGCACACTGCCTACCGGTACTCCAGAGATGCCAGACATGACGCTCCCGCCAGCTGTTCCAGCAACAGGAGTGACAGAGGTATCAGCAGACAAAACGGTTTCGCCGGCCTTGCTTTGGTCCGCACTCTTGTTCTTGTCATCCGTCTTGTCATCCTTGGTTTGAGCGTCGTCGTTGTGTTTGCTGATGCCAGTAATGCGAAAGTTTGACTTCTCCTGGATAAGTTTGAGCTCTCGTTCATCCCGTTCGGATAGGGCATCGGACTCTTTCGCGGTGGTTGCTGGTGGAGCGCCCTTTTCAATGCGCCCCAGAATGTCTCCAATATCGGTAGATGCCTCGGAATGGCCACTGGTACGACTGTTTTGGGATATCTGGCTGGACCGAGACACTTGGCTGGCATTCGACGATGGACTTCGGGTTCGTGGCCGACGACTTCGCCCTCGACCATTACCTTTTTTGCCTCTTCCTCGAGCCTTGTCATTCTGCCCGCCCTCCTTTTGTTTGTTCTGTTTCTGCCCGTTCTCGTCCTCGTCATCACTGAAAGAGTATCCTTCGTCTTCTTCGTCCTCCTCCACGTCACTAGAAGACACTTCTCTCAATTCACCACAACGAGCCGACACGATCTTGTGGAGTGTTTCGACCGGATTCTTGGCAGCAGCTTTCATAGCTCGACTGCTCACGACCGGATCCACTCCACTGATCGACGACCAAATCTCCACCAAGTTGCTGCCTGGCCGACAACCAAAGCTGATTTGACTGGCATCATCATCGTCCAAGTCGGTTTCCATCTCGTCGTCCTGGGATGGAAAGTCGTCATCGTCGTCCACACTGGTGCTGTAACTTCCACCAACGACAATGTCCGGTCCCAACTCGGCCTGTTCCTGTTGGCGCTGCTGTTGCGCCAACTTCATCTTTCGTTTCCACTTGCGTTGTTTTTCTGCCTTGACCTGTTCCTCTGTCTTATAGGAAGACGCAGTGGATGGTTGTGGTTGGATCAAATGTTGGTCTTGTGGATGAGACTGTTTGGTCGCCAGAACCTTTTTGAGGGACGACTTGGTTTGCTTCTTGGTCTTGTTGCTTTTGTTGTTGTTGTGATGATGATGATGACCCTTTTTCTTGCTGTCGTTGTCTGTAGTACTAGTAGTACTCGTATTGGCAGTAGTACTACTATTAATAGTAGTGTTTTCCTTTTGTTGGTTTTGTTGCTGTTGCTGTTGTTGTATTGTATTGGTATGATCCGAGGACGATGCCGAAATCTCGACGGCATGTTGGGCATCTTGATTGCGCATGCGCATCATGGGTGACATTTCTTCGAGAATACTCATCATGGCTGGCTTTTGTGGTGGTGGTGGCGGCGGCGGTGGTCGTTGTAGTTGTTGTGCGGCAGCTGCAAAGGGAGTATGCGTACTGCTGGGTGCCGTGACACTGCTAATACTCGTTCCAGAATAGCTAATGACGGAACTACTGGCATGGGACGACGCCGTTTTGATTTCACGATGGTGCTGTTGTTTGCCAGTACCACCCAACAACAAACTCGAGTTGGTGCTGCTGGCGGCACTGGACCGTGATTTTCGTTTCTTCTTCTTTTTCTTGCTGCCGTGCTTCTTGGAGGAGGACGACGATGATGTGGGCGGCAAGAAGGAACACCCGGCATGAGGATGTCGACGATTGTCGTGGCTGTTGTTGTTGTGCTTGTGACTACTACGATGATACCGACGACGACGTCGTTTGTCTTGATCCTCGTCCTCCAGTTCGTCGTCGTCATCCTCATCTTCTTCCATACTGGCCGTCCATTCCTCTTGGTAGCCTTCTTGATCGGCCGTTTTCTTTTCTTCTCCGTACGATGCACTATTATTGCCATTGGCGAGACTACTCGTGAACGATTCCGATGTGGCCGTGTAGACCAATCGGGAACTGGACGATCCCAATGCCGACGATGGCTGTAAGAGTTCTTGAAACTTGTTCATGGCAAACGTAAAGTGGGTAGACATGGCCGTGGCGGCCCCCACCAGCTTGGCTTGTGGTTCTTCGTAGAGGGAACGGCGGCCTCCGGGATTGCGATGATGGGTATGACGTCCGCTAGCAGCGTAAGAGGATGTTTCGCGGTCCAATTGTGCCTGTTGTTCCATGTACTGTTGCTGAAATGTGCGTTCCTGTTTCTTTTGTTTGTTTTCCGTGGCGGCCGTGGTGGTGGTGGTGGCGGTTGCTGTAGAGGTGGTCGTGAGTACAGGGTGATGATGATGATTATGAAGGTGTGGACTGATGCTACTGCTACTGCTGGTGGTATTGGCAGTATTGGTATTGTTCAGATAACTCTTTCCTTTGGTGTGGTGATATTCAGCCGCCTTTTCGTAGTGATGTTGCTGCAGTTGCTGTAACTGTCGTTGTTGCTGTTGCTGATGCTGCTGCAAGAGCTGTTTGGCCTGTTCTACGGACTGCAGTGCATCGGGAGTACCACTGTTGCGCCCTTGTCGTCTGTGAGACGCACGGGGTGTGGCTGCCATTTCCGAAGCTGCCATGTTGTTGTTGTTGTTGTTGTTGTTGTTGTTGGATGATACGTCGTCTCTTCTTTGTTGTGTGTCGGATGATGATGATGATGATAGCACTGTATGATGAGGATTGGCTAGAGATTCTTCTCTGCTTGGAACCTCAGGAATGACCTGAATGCTTTCCTCCTCCTGTTCTAGCTCCAACAGTTGTTCTTCGGTACCACTACTGGTATCGGAATAGGACAGAGTATAAAAGTCTTCTTCACTGTCGTAGCCGTCCTCTTCGTGTATTCCACTATCGGAATCGGATTCTTCACTGTCTAGCAAATCTTCGTCTTCTTCTTCCGTCAACGTCGTCGTAGTCGTACCACTGGTATCGTGTTCTTTTCGATCGGGTGAGAACTGTTGATTGTGAAAGGGTACCGTGGTAGCCGAGGAAGTGGTCGATCGAAAGGATGTATCCAAGTAGTAGCTGCTATTGTGATGGACGTTGTGGACGTTATTGCTTCGCAAGGGAGTGGTCCGCGTCGAACTAGTACCCGATGCAGCACTCGGACTTCCCAGGGATAACCGGTGCCGTCGAATGGGAGTGCGATACCCGTTGTTGTTGTTGTTGTTGCTACTGATAATACTATATTGTCGTGGAGTGTTGTTGTTGGTATGGTTGTTGTAATAGGGTAATGCCGCAGCGCCTACTAGCAGAATGTCAGCGGCGGCAGCTACCACAGCATTGCGACTCTTGTGCTGAGGTTCTCCTTGTTGTTGTTGTTGCTGCTTTGGTACGGGACGAAGCGACGACATATTCCTTTCTTCCTTCTCAAGACCAAGCTAGCTAGCTTCCCTGCGTTTTTGGTCAGCTATAAGACTCACTCTCTCGCCACTCTTGTCTAGTAGCTAAAGATGGCTACCGGCTACCTCATCGAAAATGTTTTGTGCTAATGATGAATAAAAAAACACAGCCAGACTTGCACAAATAAAAAGATGTCACCGGTAGCTCTGCCCGCTGTCATTGGTTCCAAAATTTCCTCGAGTCTTGCTGAGAATCGAATCGTCGCCTAATTCTTTGGGCGACTAAACGACTAGGGACTGTACATTCTTTGAATAGTAGAAATGATACACTAGCCAAATATACTGTAGCTTGATTTCAAAAATTTATGGGGGTTAAGAAAAGCCAAAGTGTTAATGCTTCTATAACGCTCGTACTCTTCAGCCTTGCTTTCGTTTCTTTTCGCTGTCACTTTTTCGAAAAACAACCTCTCGATTTTTCGCACCTCCGCTGTTCTGTAGTCTACATGTACTTGATACTTGATGTTGTCGTCGTCAGCCCCATTCTGGAGATCGGATCGCGAGTCTAGTTGTTTGGCTCTCGCTTGGTTGCTTGGTTGCTTGGTTGCTTGGTTGCTTCATTACTGCAATGAAGTGGCTGAGTCGTTGGCTCGTCAAGCACCGCATTGAGGGAGCCAATGAATGTAGTCTGGAAAGAGACATCATACAGAACGCACTGACTTGGCGATTGCTTCTGGATGCAGCAGTGAACAGACTTACATGTACTTGTCAAGCAAGCAAGCAAGAGCAGCTTGCAAAGGTCTGCACTCTGGCAAGAGACCAAAGGTCGAAGCTTCTCAGTGGGTAGCAGGAAGGAAGGGGACAAGGGTGGGTAAGATGGTAAGATTATCGGAAGAGGGCAAGTGCACCATCCGCATCCCAGAGGGAATGGTGGCAGCTCATTGTGCCAGCAGGGACAAGAGAGCCGTGCGTGCAGAGGTGGCAGGCCCAAACACCAGCTAGGCTGAGCCGAGCAGTAATGTAGCCATGCACCACTGAGTAAGGGCGGGACCAGTTTGCAGTGAGCGGTGAGGAGAGACGTTTGGCGACTGTCCGCTGAGCTTTGGCACCAAGGGACCATAGCAGAGACAACAAACGGGGTAAAGTGGCGGCGTTGGAGAGACAGGCCTGGAGGTACTTCACCATTGCGAAGGACCTTGTGAGAATCCTTCCGACTACACTGTGTATGAGAATCTGCATCAAGATCGATGAACCGAAGATCAATTATGCTGTCTGTTCCACGTTGTTGCCAGAGACCACGGATAAGAAGATCTCCTTCTTCGCTCCTCGGATGGGGTGGGAACGGGAGGACTGTTGCTGGGAGGCAAAGCATCTGTACCGGTAGCTGCAGAATGACTAAGATGGATACGGGGTTTGTCATGGACTGCAGTATGTATGAATGCCAAGCCATCACCGTGGTTGGGAGATCAGAGGGACTCGACTCTGTGCATAGCAAAAGTGCAGAGCATTGCAGAATTTCTTAGGCAGCTAGAACAGTGCCATTTCCAGGCACCGGAACCACATGAAGCCAGGCCCAGTAGCCGGGGCACCCTTCACGACAGAATGGCTAGAACGAGGCAACCTAGGACCTTCATGTCTACATCGGGTGGTCCCGACAGTGGGGGTAACCCCAACGGCGCCGATTGCTGGGACGTTGCAATGGGTAGTTGCCCTGTTGGGTTAATGTCGAAGGCTTGTGTGTGCATCGATCGGTGGCTGCCTTGTATCTGATGCCCTCTTCAAGAATTGCGTTACCGCCCTTGTAGTTAGCTTCGTGGATGTGTTGTGGAAAGGTCGCTCGGGGGGAGGGGCAGGAGCCGACTGGCTGGGCGTGTTCCCACTGGCAATCCTAGTGCAAGTCTAGCGCAGCTTACATAATGAGAGTAATGGAATCTATTTGATGATTATATTTTTAAAAAGTTGATAATAAAAAGAACATTTGGAACAGCGGGAATAGCTTGTATCAGTGCCAAGCAAAAACACAACAGTACAACTCTGGCCAGTCCAGCTAGCCTAACAGTTAGTTTCCTCCAGTTTGCCCCTGTAGTTTTTGTTGCAAGTAATCGAGACTGGCCTTGGCAGTCTTGCTGTATTGTGCTTGCTGTTGCAAGATATCCATGGGTGTCTTGCCACTTTCGTTGCGTTGCAGCAAGGAAGCGGGATGCAGTTTGAACAGTTGCCGGACAATGGGCACGGAAGAGCCTCGTTGGCAGGCCACATGCAGCGGTGTGTTCTGATAGTTATCGCACGGTTGACGCACCAAGTCGGGGTTGGTGACCAAAAACATGCCCAGTACAGCCACATCGTTGGGTCGTTTTTCCAGCGCCAAGCACAGAGCATTGGCTCCGTGGATGCCATCCTTGGCCGTCAGTTGGGATGGATCCGTCTTGACGAGGAGGTCGAGCACCTCCAGGCTGGCCTTGTGGGACAGAGCAATGTTGATGGGTAGCTGATAACAGTCCTTGGGGAGATGTCCTTTACTATTACTGTTGGTGTCAGTCTTGCTCTTGTGGCAACACCCGGGAACAAACGCTCTTCGGAGGACCGCGGAGGGATCCTTTTGCAAGACTGCCTGGATGACAGCCTTTTTACGCGGGTACTTCATGCAAGCCCGGTGCAGCAGTGTTCTTCGGTCCTCCTCTTGGTGGTCGTGTGAACTGCTGTGTGCGCCGCCATCCAATGAGCCGTTGCTGACAGCTCTGTTGTTGTTGTTGTGGCTGCTGCAGTTGCTGTGACCGTGGGTTGGAGCATCAAAGATCTGGTTGGGCTCGAGCACGAGGGTTTCTTCAGTGCCTGACTTCTTGGAGCAAGAAGAGGAGTTGTCCTTTAAGGACAATGGTGTGTCATCCGCGGGGAACACACCATCGTCGGTCAATCCAAAATCTGGCAAGCTTCCAAAGCTGCCAATCGATGTTTGCCTTTCACTGCGGCTCACTATCCGAGCCGGCAAGGATGCCTTGGGCATGGTGGTCGCGGGAAAGTCGTTCCTCTGACTTGGGCGTTTCATGGGAGGTGGCATGAGATCGCAAGGCTGCTGCTGCTGTTGCTGCTGGGTCATCATCATGTTGCCCTGTTGTTGGTTGAGAGCTATGCCGTCGGGGGAATTGAACTGATAGAAGTTGTTCATGGTGTGTGCTTGAGTGGCTGGTAGAGTGGAAATAGGTCCAGAGAAGGGGGTGTGGTAACGCATCGCTGTGTTTTTGTTTGATCTTGCAAAATTGTGAGAATTCTGTTCAGCTTGCTCCTTACATAGCTCCTTGATCGAATTCGGTACTGCTTTCTACACGGTATTGCCGTAAGCAGAGTCATGGGTGGCGAAATTATCAGTAAAAAGGGTGATCACGCTGCCCTGTGTGGCTTCTCTTTATTTACTTTTGCGTCAGCAGTACGAGCGTAATCTTATTGTGGTCTTGGAACCATGGTCGTCACACTTAAACTAACTATTCTAACGGTTTTCAATTTCCTCGTCACAAAAACGATTCCTAAGCCTATTATACTCCTCTAATCAAGAAATGACTCTGCACTTGTTCCCAAGTGTTCACCCAGTATGACCCCATGCCTCTTTCGGATTTTTTGACCAGCAGCAGTGACCCTGCACACAGACAGTAGAATATTTACGTAGCCAACGGTACCACCAAAAGTAGTGACAGAAGATAACCAGCAACACTGTTAAATAAGACTGCCCTTCCCAGTCTGGCTAGAGCCTGATCATTTAAAAGGACTTAAGCATTCATTATTAAAAGATCAAATAGGAACACCACTGGTCTCCCCAAGATACCGCTACGATGTCCACCACCAGCTCTCAAAAAACTCCAAACCCGAAGACGTGTCTTTTCTGGCAATGTACGGTAACCAGCGAAGCTGCTTTTTGCTTTTGCTAGCTGCGATGAAACCACGAGTGTCTTTGTCTTTGATGTCAAGAGTGACCTCCAACATTAAAAATATTTATTTGCTGATGCCTCTAGCTAGCCAGCTAGCCAGCCAGAGGTGGGCTTTCTCATCCGCCAAGTGTTGGAACTTCCTTTCTTGTGCCGAAGCCAGCACGGCACCACGGTTCGACAACGATTCGATTCATCATTCGATTCTTCGGGCTTTTTGCCAGAAAGGCTACGAAATACGAACCTGTAATGGGCGCTCGGCGAGCGAGCGACCGATCATCTTATCTATCTTCTCGATGGATCTTATGTAGTTCTTAGTTTTGGAGGCAGGAAAGCAGTGAAACCGCATCGCAGTTTCTTTGTTGTGCTAATCATTTCATGTCAATGGCGCAGGCGCTTCGCGGCGAGAGGTAAGGAGCAATGTATGTGGAGGAGGAGTCACACTTCTTACTCTTCACTTTTTTCCTCGGACTCCGTGCTCCGTCGCATCATTCCTTCTTTAGTTTGAAATTGTTGTACATGATGAACCTCCAGAGTTGAAAGAGTCTTTTTAACCAAGAACTCTGCCACTTCTTTCCTGGCATTTGCCTCTGACGAGGACTCCGTGGGGTCTGAGCGCACAATGTGACTTGCAATATCCGAGGGCAAATCACCCGCTGCATTGCGATGCATCAATGCTTGTGGGTACATCTGGACCAGTTGGCGAATGACTTGAAGAGAAGCACCCTTTTGGCAGGCCACATGCAAAGGTGTATTCTTATGAATCGCTGATACCATTCTGGCACTCCCTGTGTTGTTTGCCAAGATGAGTCCCATGCAGGCAATGTCATGTGGCCTTCGATCCAAAGCAAGACACAAAGAGTTGATCCCAAAGATCCCATCTTTGACATTCAATTGAGATGGATCCGCTTGCACCAGCACCTCCAGCACCGCCAGGCTTGAATTGTGGTACAAGGCAATATTGATAGGAAGCTGAAAGGGCTCTGGCGTGGGGCCATCTGCCTTGCGTCCAGGAAACATCTTCGAGACCATTCGTCGGTTCCTGCGACATCGCGATGGAATGCAGTCAATGAACGCCTTGTGCCGTATGGACTCTGGATGCAAGCTCAAAGACATTTCTACCATCTTCTTGTCTCCAGTGAACAACTGACACGCCCTGTGCAGAGCCCTGCTCCTGTTGAGTCCGTTGGTGAAAGAGAAAGGGATCTTTTCGTCAGAAGAAGGGCAGGTTCTTGAGTTGCTGTCAAAAATGGCGGCTGGTTCCGTAACACCTTGCTTTGATGGTAGGAGCAAGGTATCCGCAATGGAGGCGGCAGCCGGCTTTCCATCTAAGTCGCTGTCGTAGTCAGAATCCGTTGCCCGGAGGTCATCAATGTCATCTTGCATACTTGTATCCTTCTTGGTGTCTTCATCGAGCGCCTCATTGTCGAGGATGCCCAACGAGGCCAGTCTAGGTGTCAACACGGTTTCTTGCCTTGCTTTCTTGAACCGTTTTGCGGACGGGAGCATTGTTTGTTTGGGGCACTTTTCCGCACCAAATGTGGCAACCAAGCAACCCCCCTTTGGCTTGTTGTCACCAAGTAGCGCCATCCAAACGGTGTCACTTTCGTCGTCGAACAGAGAAGCGGGAGACAACGATCGGGAGGTCCTCGCCTCTTGGTCTTCCAGATGCTTAGTAGTCGATGAAACCAAGATAGTCCTTGGAGGTGAAAAGGGCATTTCGTGAGCATCAATAGAACCAGGCGTGATCATGGTTCGGGGAGAATAAGGACGTCGGGAAAATAATGAGGAGGATGGAAGGAGAGTTGGAGGAGGAGGTGGGGAGTTGGGGACTGCCTCTTACAGCTCCCCGCGGTGCATTCCATACACGTGGGAGTATTCTTGCGACTATCTTACATCTCACAGCTCATCTTACTACGGTAATACGCGGGGATCATCCTTCAGCTTCAAAGAAGACATGACGGTATTCTACGCGACCGGAGCTGGAGCATTAGGCCTAGAAACTACGGCATATGCGTATCGCCAGGAACGGCCCAGTACTTACCGCTAGCTACTGGTACATGTACTAGTTTCGCACAAACGCGCAAACACTTCCGTGGACCAATGGTCCAGTTGGCAACGGAAGCCATACAGTACACATTGAGCTACTAGCTAGACTACTCATGTACTAGTAGATCTAGTACACTACTAGCTAGCTAGAATAGAGTCTAGTAGCTAGTAGTAGATCTAGTTGTTCTAGCTAGTAGTCTACATGTAGTACGGTACCGATACTGGTATGATGATTCACTTGATGCGATTCTGATTCGATTCTTTTTCCTTTTCTAAACGTCAGTCGCAAGAAACGGCCTCCCAGTGACCAGTCTTATACTAGTACTTTCAAAACGAGAGTAATCCGTAATCCTGGTAATCCTAGCTAGCTAGCAGTGAATGGAAGCCCACATGCACAGCGAAGAAGAACGATGATACGGTACGAGATCTATTGGTATGGCAATTTTCACGTTCGTACCGTACAGGAATGTCTGAACGGTTCTGGTTGGATTGCGGCGATGGAAGGATCTGCTTCAATGGCCAATGGTTGCTGGAAAAAATGGACTTGACTCGACACGACTCGACTCTACTCCCTGATAGAGGTGCTGCCTGCAGCATGTTTTTCTAGCTCTACACAAGTTTGGCACTGAGCTAGCTAGAGCTGAATTGGAGAAAGCGCTGCACCGGTCCGATGCTGTAGTTTGCTTTTCTATCTTCATACCTGAGCAGCACTGAGGATGTGCTCCACTGTTCCTCAGGATCAATGGGATCCGACTTGAGCTTGCTTGCTAAACGCGTTGTGTAGGGAAAATGTCATTTCGTAGGAACATCTTCAGGAAAAGAGGGTGAACACCATCTGTCTAGCCTTGATTAGCATTAGCTATGACACAAAGGTTTCGCAATTTACCACACTGCGCAACATTTACTTCAGCGCTTTACTGGGTACTCGAGTATCCTGCTGAGTACCACTATATACTAGTAGCGTAAGTTCTAGTTTATAGATCAAAGAAGGGCGGCTACAACCCCAGCCTCCAAGGCTCCAACTAACGCAATGTAGGATTTTACCGGTAAGCAGTTCGAGTGTTGGATGACACTTGGAAAACGAAAGGCTGGCTGTTGGGTAGCTAGTTCCTTGGGTGCAAGATCGCTTGGGATCGCAGACAATCGAAAGCAAGACGATCCAGGGATAGACTAGCTAGAGCCTACATGTAGTAGTTCATGGTTTCCATATGAAGGCACTCACCTCAACCGTTTAACGGTACTGTAAGCCTGATGGGACGTTCAATCGTTTCTGGCTGGCTTATTATCACAATAATGCGTGACTCGACTCAGAATATTAGTCACAAAACGAGACTTCATTGACTCAGTGGACCAACGAGGTGCGTTGGCTGAGTCACGAGCCTCTTTTATTTACAGACTCCAACCAGGTCAGGGCTTAATACCATCTTCAAATTTACTTAGAAACCAGGGTTACTCGGGAATAGATGGAGCCACGGTTAAACAATTTTGGACATTGATTGCTTGGGGGCAATAAGATGCCTGGGACTGGAGACATCGTAATTACTGGTATTTACCAGTGCTCGTGCAGCTCACTGGTTTGGAGGGTGGCTTGCATACTTTCAATCACACACACCTGATCAGAAACGATAATCCCGGTGAAGCTGCAAGCGGTTTCGCTGTGCTGTCGCTTTGCCTCACTCACATTGAAACATCAATCAACACGTTGCCGAGCAGCCCCAAGTCCAGTTCCGCTCTTGCTTTGCTTCCGACAAAGTTGCTCATTACTTTGACACCCAACAGTATTTCCAGCAATTGCTAGCTTGATCGCACAAACAAACCAAAAAACAGAACAATTCACCATGAGCAGCACTATCACTCAGAGACCTACCCGTCGCCAAGCATTGGAGCTGCACGACACAGAGGACCACCTGTCTTCAGCATCCTCCTCATCGATTGACTTGGAGATGAACTTGTCATTTGAAGACTTTCAGGAACAAGTAGTAGAAGACTACGATGACAACAAGAAGTACCGCAAGCATCAAAAACGAGCGACGTTGAGCTGTGCCGTCACATTCTTGGGTCTCTGTGCCCTCTTGGTGTTTGCCGTCAACAAGACACTGATTGAAGCCGACGCTAGTGTTTCAAGACGAACACCGACACTACCGGTGCAACGGTATAAAGCACCACTTGTGCAACAAAACTCGGTTCCATACAGGAGAATCTAGTTAGTTAGACAGCTAGTCTTTCCATTCCCACTCTCATCTGCTTGGCGGAACTCCAACTCCCGTCAGACACCACTCTTCTTTTTGTTTCCTGCTTCCTCGAGAGGTTCTCTCTTATTTTATTATAACAATTATTAGTGCATTAGATGCTACCATACAGTACAAAGAAAAATCACTAGGAGCAAGGAAGCGCAACTATCTCTTTTTGAAATGGTAGGGCACCACCAGCACATGTAGCTAGCTAGGTACCGTGTAGCATTATGAGGTGCCGAAGACGAACCGAACCATGATCGGAAGCCTCTTCTTTTGGGGTTCCGCATCGCAAAGGTTGTCGAGAAACCACGCTACGGCCACAAAATGAACGGGCCGCGAGTCGAGTCGAGTGACGATGCTCCACTTTGTCCCCCGACGAGCGACTCCAACAAAATTCCTGGTTGGGAAAGCAAGCCTAGCTCCCCCGTGGCTTGTAGCCAGCTACATTGTAGTTCGATCGGCACTGGTAGGTACCGATACTTTGCTGAACCCTGCCGCACGGGAGTTGGCTTCGCAGCCATAGACTCCAAGCGAAGAAAGCGTTCCCCCCTCCCCTGCTGTATGACATACCGATAGCTAGTAGGTTTGGGGTCCTTGATTTGATTCAAGCAAAAAAGATCCAGATCTAAACTATTTGGCTGCTTTGTCAGCTTTGTCAGCGACCGACTGCTTGCAACGGCCGTAGCCCGAGCGTTCTCCCCCGCGATCTTCACTTGAAAATCCCCAAATCTGAAAGGAAGATCTACTAGCTCCTGTGAAAAATTGGAACTGGATCCAAGGTAGTACCTTGGCTGCGGTGGGGCGTTCTCCTCTCTTGGCAACGCAAGATTCCTATCCAGATAGTTTGGAGTGTTTCTTCTCGGCTTTCACACAATCGCTTTCAATAGCCACTTGAAAACGAACCTGCTGCTGCAGTGAGAAAAGATATCTACTTTCAGATAAGCCACACAGCGGTCGCCGGGAAAAGCCATGGGCTACATCCTCCATTATTTGACCAGCTGACAACGCCTTGTTTCATGATCTCATTGTCCCTTTGTTCGGATCCATCCCCCACAGACAAAACCATGGGTAGTCTTTCCTCCAAGACAATCGTGGAGTATCGTACTGATCCAGCAACGGCAAAGGCCCTTGAGCAAAGCAATGCAGCCTTAGCCCAGTCCCAGGCGCTTCAGGCGCGGTCATCCCAGGCACTGAGGGAGCAGAAGAAGATGGTTGCTGAATTGAAGGCAGCATCCGAACGTCAAGAGGCTGACTTCAAGAGGCAGATTCGGAAAGCTGTGGAAATCATCAAGACATGCCAAGGACAGGGACAGAAAGTGGCTGTTCTTTTGGGCGGTCAAAGGTTCTGGAAAGACAACTCTCTGCAAGTACTTGTTCAGCATGACAGGAACTGAACCCGCGATACTCATGGGACGGCCCAATTGCAGTGTGAGGGCTCAGAGGTAGTTGGCTTGCCCGTTGTTGACACCGTCGGAAAAATGCCAGATACGCGTGGCATGATGAGAGTGCTTGCTTGTGTGTACAATCAAAGGCTGGAATCCACATGAAATAATCGCAGTGCATACAGGTCGACTTGGACACTTTGACAAGGTGGCCGGCTACCTTCAGGCAAGCAAGATCAATGTCATTGACTTTTCTCCCAAGACCTTCTGGAAGATGATGGGGAAGGGAAGCAGTGTGAATGACTCCCTGGCTATGGCGATGGACGAGGCTGATGGTGGAGCTGGTTTTCTCCATCTGAACAAACTTGTTCTGTCTGAAAATGCTTTCAGCATGGGACACTGCTTGGATGCTGGTGGTATGATTTGCGTTCTTGTTTGTGTGTACAATCAAGGCTTGAATTCATATGAATTCTTTGCAATGCATACAGGTTCACTTGTGGCCAGCTACCGGTACCTTCAGGCAAGCAACATCCATGTCATTGGCGCCATACACACACCATCACACCCTCGTTCTATGTTGTTGGGTTAAATGGTAATAGTCTTGGAGTTTGAGCTTACCAGGTACTGTCTTGTATTTTGAAGTGTATGGTCCTGATAGAAGGAAGGCATATGCTTGTATCATATGCCTTCCTTTGAGTCCTCATGCTGGCTCAAAGGCGGCAAATTCTTGGTCCCTGCAGGAAGCCTAGCTAGCTGGCTGCCACATCAATTGTGTCTTGGTTGTAAGCTATCGTTGTTTGCACAAGATGTGTGAACAAATGAATTGGGAAGCTACCGGTACAGGAGACCTAATTCCAGGACCGACATCATGATAAACCGTGACTTCTGTCCCATTTTGGGCTGGTCCAACACCTGGCCCATCACAACTCCAACACAACGACATGCATCCAGCCAGCAGAATAGAATTTCCACATTCCGTAGCGTGGGAAAATTACACTCCACGCTTTCAAAAATCGTTTTGTGAACCCCTATCCCTTTTGAAGTACCGGTTAGAAATTTACGGCACGAACCAAACGCCTGTGAATCTTCATGCTGAATATGTATATAAATTTCTCGCACGAACTGTAATTAAGCCCTGGCTCTTTCCCACCAATCCGTTCCATGTGCGGGCGCTTGTTGCGCACCCGCATCGCCACATTTTTCCCGCCTACCCACGCCATTTTTTCAACCTACAAGACAACCGCAAGTAGACTACTAAGAGGAGCACCATGATGATCACTCTTGTTAACGTTTCATCACTTGTTGTGCGTTCACAACGACAACAAGAACAAGATCAATTGGAATTATTAGTAGCAGCAAAAGAAGTGGCAGTAGACAGGCCTCGAGCAGATCATTCTGAGCAGCAACAGCAACAACAACAACAACAACAACAATCCAAGTCTTGTTCTTGTGAAACATTACCAATTCTAGAAAGTAGGAGTAATAACAAGATGAGACAACGACAGAGACGGACGTTATACAGTCCATGGCTTGTACTTGTGGCATGTCTTGCACTTCTACTGATATTACAACCATCAGTGAACGCACAAGAATCGCAATCGCGTCAAGTACACAAGTACGCATTGCCTGCGTTTAGTATGGTCCTGCGGGTGAGTGTCGACCGCGACGAAGATGACGGCGACGACGACGAAGTGTACTTGGATTTGGAAATCTTTCAAGAGACATTGGAGCATGTGACGCAGTTCCACTTGACGGACATTTTTCAACAACACACTCATCAGCACGATGACTCTTTTCAGCAAGAACAATTCATTCGCGTACAATTGTCATCCAAAGTGCGACAAGAAATCGTACAGGATGGCGCACCCGTCAATCGAGAACACGTTCCGTTACACGCGGGGTTTAATGGCATTGTCAGTTACTCCTTTCCCAGTGATGCCGTTCCTCCGACGGGGCGTGTGGAACAAGCCATTTCCAATGTGCTGGAAGATGCGTTGGTGGCGGAAAACTATCTCTTGCTCTTTCGTCGATACTTGAGTTCCGGTGCTCTGTCATCCATTGAAGATGTCTATCAAATTGCCATTGGCACACAACAGTTGACGGTACTCGAAACAAACACCAACAAACCACTCATTCCTAATGACACGCCCTCGACAGCAGCAGCAGCAGCGCAACAAAACAATGCCAACAAGAAGAAACAACTAAATGCCGTCACCATTGTGGCCATTGTCATTTTCTTGACGCTCTCTTGTCTACTCATGCTCTTTGGAGCCACGGTAGTGCTCCTCATGAAGGACCGCGCCAAACAAGAACGATCGCTCAATGGACAAACCATGACCAGTATTGGAATGGGAACCAAAAAGAACGGCAACAATGATGATGAAGAGGACGACAATGACGATCAGGAGGAACGCTTGGAAGACGACGAACGCACCACCGACACTTCCGAGGCACCCGCATGGAAACGAGCCATACTACCCGTCCTCCGCAAGGCCATTATGGTACGGCGGTACTGGAAAAAACACGTTCGGAGACAACGCAAGGCACGAAAACACGATCCCAATCTGGGCGGTGGTGGAACCAGCAGCGACGACTCGTCCAATGCCAGTGGTGGTGCGGAAGACGATGGTCTCAATGACGAAGATGTGTACTATGATGAAAATCTGACCGATGAAGAAGCTGCCAATCAATGGCTCGATGCCTGGCAAGCATCCATTACCAGCATTCCACTGCGGTCGGTACGACCGAACACGATGGATAGCAATAGCAAATCGCCCAGCAAGAAACACGTCAAGAAGAAAAAGGCCAGCAAGATGCCACTCGCACCCAGACCGGCCACACGACAATCCAAAAACACGTTTCTTTGCTGCATTGCCGAAGAGGATTCCGTCGTCGATGGAGCGTCCGTCTGTAATATGGGAGACCTCGAATTGGGCAATGATGATAGTCTGCGCAGTACATCGTCGCGCAAACGGCCGCCGCTGGAATTGGATCGCATTCAAGAATTGACGTCGGTCGTCATGGAAGACGCAGCGACGCCCTATGGGACATCGGTACGAAAAAAGAAACCACTGCCCCTTGTGGCCACCAGTAGCAGCACCAATGAAGACAGCGTGTCGTCTCCAATGGCAATGTCTCCAATGGCAATGTCGCCCATGGCGGCGTCTCCCATGGCAGTGTCTCCCACCACACTGCTGCAACAACCGGAGCAGCTGTCCGACATTCAAGATGTAGACCTATCCTAGCATACTTCGCCTGCTTGGGCTGGGGAACTAAAGGGAAGCCTCGTTTTGGCCGGCTGGTGTACTTACTGTAACATCACTCTTTTTCTGTTGGCAGCCACGTTACGTTGATCAATATTATGGCATGGTTTTCTCTGTGCATCGCTCCATCTGCGGCAAGACACATCCTGTCGTTGTACTTTCTACTGACTTTTTCATCACATTCATAAACATTCAAATACTCTCCAAGGAAACGAATTACGTACCGGTAATGGCTGATGTAGTACGTGTACTGTACGTGATGTCAGCTTGCTAGTAGTACCAGGTAGGTCCTTCCCACTGGTACCACCGCTATGGAGGGCCACAGTTCATGTATCACCTTTCCTGCAACACAAGCAAGATGCTTTCTTTCTAAAGAAGCAGACGACATAACCACACCGTACCGAATCAAGTCGAGTCGAGTCGAGTCCATGCTAACTTATACCGTACTCCCGGCGACGTTTGCTTGCTTCTTTGAAACCTGCCAAGAAGGGTTGAAAAGCGCAAGGAAGCCCCACACCGGTACAGTACAAAAGCAAAGCAAGCAGTTCTTAAAAACCAGCCAAGCACCTCTCCCAAGTCCTTGTTCCGTACCGTTTTGCCTCCAACCAACCAGGCCCAATAGAACTTCTTTTGCAAGGGTGGGTGGGTGGAAGAACAACACCAACAACTAACTGTGGAAATGTACGGTAATTACATGAGAAACCAATGCTTCCTTCCGTAGATAGATTAAAACTTCCCTACCAACTCTAACTAAACCCCGTAGGTTGTTGAAGGGATGAGCATGTCTTTCAACGAACCAGCTCCACCAGCTTGATTGAGTTTGCGGACTGAAATCTGTCTGTCCGTGCATCGGTTCCTTCCTGCCCGGAAGGGTCGCCGTGTCGCACTTGTGGACGAGGAAGCCGCCGAAGAGCAGCGGAAGGCGTCGAAGAGGACAGAAGAAGAGCCTTGCCCTGCACACCGCACACGGAACCTAGCTAGATTAACCACGATCAAAAAGTTCGGGTTGGTACAGCAAGGGCTCTAGCTAGCTAGTAGAAAACTACAACCACAAGAGGAGACAACTGTTACTAATCAATCGCAGCCAGATCTCGTTACTTTCAGTAGTTAGTAGCAAAGAGTTCTTGTTGCTGTTGTTTTACATGAAATAGCAAGAGTATCCATAGATTGTATCCATCTTTTTGTATCATCATCATGGACGCTGATACTAGTAGTAGTGCATTTGACAGCGGTCCATTGCGTGTGGGAACATGGACGGAGGAGGAAAGGGCGTACATGAACGCGCTGATGGGAGAGTTCAAGGAGGGTTCGTTGAATCTGGACGAAGGCACGACGATGAGAGGGTTCCTGGCGAAGCAGCTCCACTGTGGTGTCAAGCGGATTTCGAAAAAGATGGAAGGCTTTGATTACAAGGGTCGTCACAGCTATTGTCCCCACAACAACACGTTGTCGCCACAAGAGACGACGGCGCGACGAGAGCGAGTAAAAGTGTTGAGGAGCAAGTTTTTGGAATCCTTGGAAAAGCTTCGTCTTCCCGGATCCAAAGCATACAAGGAGGAACAAGCCAAAAAGGATCAAGCCAAAATGGGGAAGAAAAAGGCACCGGCAATGTGGCAACCACCACCGGCGGATCCAAAGCGAGAACGGGCCAACTTGCTAGAAGCCATTGGGGCCGCGGTAGGCGATGATGCACTCTGGCAAATAGACGAGCCTACTACAACGACGGCCGCTGCTGCTCCAAGTCTCACAGCAAACGACAACCATCAAAGCAACCAACCTACTGCGGTACAGCTGGAACGGAAACAACCGGCCAGAAGAACGAGTCTCACCCAGGTTGGACTCGATGCTGCTGCTGCTGCTTCTTCTGTAAATCCATCTCTCTTGTCCCTCGGAATCACCAATCTACCACCCGCTACGACATGGACAGCGAATACTAATCTTTCCGTGGATCACAGCTTGGCACTGCTGAGAATGAACATGGCAGCACAGACAACCGCAAACCAAGCATTCCACCGCCCAAGTTTGGGAAGGGCGTCCTTGTTCGACCAAGCCGCTGCCATGGAATTGACGCAGCACAATCAGAACAATAGCTTCCACCCACTGTTTGGCAACAACAATCCTCTCAACTATCATCTTAATCAACCAACAACAACAAATAGTGATGCTGGACTGTTCCATACTAATAACCCCACAAGAAGGACATCATTGGCCCAAACCCAATCTGCTGCTGGAATGACTCCTGATATGGTTGCCACGACACGCCTCTGCAACCCACTACTACATCAGCAGTCTCTTGCCAATCAGCATCATACTATGAATCCATCTGCTGCTGCTGCGTTCCTTGGTATGAATGGCATTGATGAGGCAAGGAAATTGGCCATTCTTCGAGCGTCCGGCGGAGTTCCTACTGATATGCATAGACCAAGACCATGCTTTGACGAACCTGCGTCGAAACGGGTACGGAGGACGAGCGGCGGCAATTTCTAGCTACTATAGCTAGACTAGCGCTTTTGGTGGGGACTAGTTTTTCGAAATGACATGTATGATTGCGCCAGCTGACTGGCTAGATAGTTTTATAAATGAGATCTTGTAATAATTGCATCGCTACATAGTTTCGCTTTGTTCGTTCGCCGAATAGTATAGAATCTTCTTGTCATTCGACTAGTTTCTTGGTGATCAGCTAGCTAGCAACCATCCCCGACAACATAGCGACAGGTGTTGTAGAGCTTGGGCATCTTGAGAGCATTCAACGTAAATTCAGCCAGATCTGCATTGCAATACGGGAAAAAGCCAGGTTGCTACATAACATTACAACGAAAGATTGATTTAGAAAAAAGGAATGCGTAAACAACAAAACAGATTTCAACATGATCCATTCATGAATGCACCTCCCTCCCTCCCTCACTTACCGACTTGGATGCCTGTAGCTTTTTGGTGGATCTTCCATCTCGGAGAAAGGAAGTGGGGCGTGTGATAATGTATGGAAAGGCAACCTTATCATCATCAGCATCAGCACCCCAGCTCTGAGAATGAATGTACTGAATCACACCATCCAGGTCTTGCAAGTATTGGAGGGTGCGGCGTCGAATCCAATAGTTACGGATATGAGCAGACAACGCCGGCAGTTCCCCCCATTGATTTTTGGCTAGAGACGTCGCCTGAAAGAGAAACCCTTTGATGGGAGGATCATCCTGTTTGCCCATGACACGAAACAACGTCTTGACAAACTGCAACATATATTCCTTGGGATAGCCGCCACCGGATGATTGAGTGGCGTTGGCCAAGGCGGTTTCTCCCACCATACACACCACATAGGTAGAACTGTACACTACTTCCTGGATTTTGGCATGTTCATTCACCGTGCCAAACACCGTGTGCAAATCTTCAAACTCTGCCTGTCCTTCCAATTTGGTGGTGGGTGTCACCAACGCACGGACTTTGTAGCCAGCATCCAATGCCAATCGAAGAAAGTGATGCCCCGTTCGACCATCCACACCAAACAAGGCAATGGTTTCCGCAGAATCATCATCATCCGATCCATCATCTTCACAATGAGAGTCGTCGTCATCGCTACTGTCATTGCTGCTGCGGCGACGACATTCCTCCTCATCGTCATGATGACTGACTCTCAGACTGTCATGGCTCATGGAACGCGTCTTACTAGTCAACGTATGCTTTACATTGTCCTCCACGTCGGAGCAGGTCAGGTTGCTGCACTCATCGTCCACCATCTTGTTTGAGGGTGCACCGGAAGAGAAAAAGAGTGAACCGCGAATTTGAAATTTGAAGTGATAGCCATAACCCTAACTCCAGGTCGGAAGGGGGGGGACGTTCTCTACCGGTGCGATACGGGGACAAGGGGGGTCAGGATTAGGCACCATAGATGCAATGAGATCAGGGGCAACAATTTTGAGGACCAACACAGGGGCCAAACTCCTTGACTTTTTGGGATCCATGGAGATATAAATGAGTGTTGTAGAGCATCATTTGGGGTCTGTGTTGAGAATAGCAAGGCTTTTATTAAAAACAAGATTTTAGCTTTGGGAGCTAGCATGCCATCCACAGAAACAACCAAGGGACGGAAGGAGGTGTGACAGATTTTCGCACTGGTCTAAATACTCGGGAAAGTTTCTTGCTTTCCAGCACACACCAAAATTTCGATCGGGCCTTCGGTCTTGGATAGTTGGGAGGGGTGGTTAAGCTTGAACTACAGAGGCACCGAAGCAATCAATTGATCCAAGTTCAGCACAGATTTCATGATGGCGTCCATCGTTACCGCAATACAAAAATTTAAAAAGAAGGGAACCAACATATCCACTATAAGGTACCTACAGTACGGATGCTAGCTAAAGCTCTGCTCTTTTCATCATCTTCTTGGAAGGATGTTTTTGCTTCATCAACCCTTCGTGGTACTTTTGCTGGTATTCTTCATCAGCGTCCCTCGTTCCTCGATTGAAATCTTCTAATTGTGCGAAATCTTTCTTTTGGTTCAGAATAGGAACCAAGGCAGGCGGGTACTGTCCAGGGCAAAACCAGCTTCCTTCTACATCACATTGCTTGTTCTTGGGGTCCGCCACCCATCGTCTGGATTCCTCAGAAACCTGCAGGACCTTGTAGATACGAACCTTGCCATACTTGGAAGTAAAAACTTCTTGGAAAAGGTCAGGGTTGGCTACCACGCCTTGTTCACGATGATGGGAATGTAGCTTGTACAGAAGACTCTTTTCCATAGTGGAGGATGGGACATAGGAGTTTCCTCGCTTCCCCTAAAGTTGTGGAAAAGAGGTGAATTTGAGGTATGTGTGACACAGTGGCGTTTTGCATGTTTTGTTAGAGTACAGAGGCCAACCAATACGGACAGAACTTACCCGAAAGCCAAAGTCGCTACATGTTGGGTCGTCGGGGCAGTGATCACGGTACACGGAGTTGGCAATGCGTGCCAAATGTGGACTCTTTGCAACGTCATCACCACCGCCCCCAGCCCATACCAAGACGTAGTCTGCCAAATGCCTTGCAATTTCGTGGCCTTCCTCGATTGGACTCGTCAGAGCCATGCCCAACAAGGCAATATGTTCGTGATTCCAGGTGTTGCCATCCGCTAGAGTCGTACGATTGGCAATGGCGGTGATCTGATACCCATAGTCCCACCAAGCCATGATTCGGGCATCCTCCGGGGTGTTATCACGAAGCCACCAGTAGGCTTGCCGGTAATCATCCAATTTGATTGCGCGGCCATCCTGGAGCCGAGCCAACACAATGATACTTGGGTTGCTCAAATCCTTGGACAGCCGCCAGCAGTAACTGGCAAAGGATGACGCCATGAAGTATCCGACCAAAAGTAACAATCCCGCTGCAAGTTGTCGTAAGTGTCGTCCAGTTTCGCTTTTGTAAATCTCACCGACGGAGCGGTAGAGTTTGGTAAAATCATCTTCCTTGGAACCTTTCTTGTTGGATTTTCCACCACGTCCGGTCGCATTCTGACCCTTCTTATTCTTTTTCGCTTTGCTCTTGGAGTCATCCGCTGCATCCTCCTCGGCAGTGGAACTCGCTGATGAGGCAGTTTTGTTGTCGCCTTCTGGTTGGTCGTTCCACCACAGCTGATGCATTGCCCAATGGACGATTCGTCCAGCTGCAATACCCCCGCAAATACTGGCAATGGGTCCCGTCAGGAGGATGAGCCGCACCATTTTGTGACTGAAAAAGTAGGATGTTGTACCCCAGACCAAGATGAAACTGGATGTATCACTCAGATACGCTGTCGCTACCATGGCAAATCCGACAGGCGCCAACGTACAAACATGATGCAAGTACTGAAAGTAAGCCTGAGTCGACGCTGGTTGATGCTCTGCGACACTGTCCACCAATGGATTTCCCGTTCGAGTATGTTGCACAAACAACCCACGCACACGACTGCTGAGTGGCCCAAAGTACCCCGAGGGAGCCAACGCCACGATCAATACGGCACCCAGAGCACCCGCACCAACACCCAACTGAATCCTCAACTTCCAAGCATCCTTCCGCGAGAGTTTATTCTTTTTCCGAATGATTTCGCAGACCTCCAATACCTGATAACCCAAAAAGACGCCACACGGCCCGAGCTGTTCCAAACTCTTGAGAGGCGCCCATCCCACCACTGGCACCTGGATGGCACAGTATGTGCCGACTACATAGAAACACGAGTAGGCCACATACGTGCGATCGACAAATCGTCCAATCCCCACCAAGAATGCCGCATGCAATCCAATCAAGTTGAGGACAAAAATGTATCCACCCCATGCGGCGACCATGTAGAAATAGGCCAATCCCGTGAGGATCCCCCAAATGGCCGCCGACGCGATTCCATTGGTACTGCGCATGGCTCTCATCCAGCAATAAAACGTGGAGCACATGGCACTGACGGCAATGCTCTCATTGTCGTATCCTCCTCCCATACTCCGGGTCAAATGTGCCGGGACAATGGCCATCATGGCCATGGAAATCATGCCCACTTTGGCCGAAGGTGATAACCAGGGATATTCTCCCGAAGATGCTGTCGATGATGCTGATGCTGATGTGTTGACTGGTCGATATTTTCCCTGCACGGCATCTACGATCCATTGGAGCAAGTTGTGTTGTGTGTTAATGGGCAAACTGGCTTCGTAGGCCATCAATCCGACAAAGACACTGGCAACGACACCAAACCAAGCCGGAATGTAGCAGCAGACATCGTTCAAACTCATGGAGTCTCCCAGGACATATTGCTTTAACCAAACGGCAGTGAATTGCATACCGGGATAAATGGTAGTTCCCACGGGACGTCCTAATGGATACCAGACCATGTGATCAAACCAGGCGAAAAACTTTTCTGCTCCATGAGCGTAGAGATACTGGATGGATGATACAGACACAAAAAGAGTAATAAAAATGGTGAGAAGGACTTGACTGGAAAAATAATGATATATTGAGAAGCCCAAAGATCCAAATTTTGATTTTTCCAAATTCAAGGGTGCTACCCAGATCCAACCAAACCTTGTATTCTATCTGCCCCCCAAACCAACAATACAATATGATAATGGTTGCTTGCTTGGTTTCTTGCTTACCTCTGTGGCTCTGTAGTTGAAGTAAGGATCAAATTCATGAATCACTGGACCAAAGTCTTCGATAGCTCTCAATCGAATGCGGTAGGCGATTTGGGCAATAATGAATACCCCATACCCCGCCAAGGCTGTCCAGAATAGACCAAACACGGTAGAAGAGCCACTGCTGCTGGAGCCCATGATGGATGTGTGGATGTATGTATGGATGTACGTGTAGCTTGTCTTGTTTTGTCTTTTGAATGGATCCACTTGTGCTCTATACCCTCGGAAAAGCTCCAAATGAGTTCAGTCTAGCTAGCGGCTAGTGGAGTTCACTCTTGTGGACCGATAGTACAGAATCCGGTCAACTGGGGAGGCTCCTTGATTTGGTTTGGATACCGCCGATGGATATGATCTCTTGTCAAGTTAGACTATTAAACAGGTCAAGTCATTGCCTGGAAAGTGGGCTTTGCTTTCTTCGGCTGCGGTGTTTTGATAAGGGGAAAGATACGCGGTCCGAAAAAGCAACAGCAAGATCTTCCAGTTGACGGCCAGACTATCGATCCCACTGGTCACTCAAGCTCGTGACTCCATTTTGTCGAACCCTTACGCCCGACACGGTGTCAACGGTCACGGAAAAACTCCGACTGAAGAATACTGTAATGTACACAGTACTGGTGTACGACTGTACGGTGCACATACATACATAGCGATACCAGTAAAAAGTATGAGTCTGCAGCATTAACCTTATCTAAAGCCGTCAAACATGGCAACCAATATGATCACGGGTCACTTCCGCGAGAATACAACTAACAGTAGAGAAACAAGCTTTATCCCTACTTTAATAAAATATGATATGCCATGCATACTAAAGGACAGTTCAATCCGAATCCGTAGTACCGTAACCAGGGATCTAGTCTAATAACAAAAATCGTCAAACAAGACATGGCAACCATTGAGTGGCCAGAAATCAACATGTATTGCTCTCCAACCTCAATAATAAGATACCTTAGTCGTCGAGCTTTCTTACCATTCTTTCCTATGACAAACCTAAAAGCTAATAGTAGACCTCTTCCCAGAAATCCTGGTCTTCTGCGTCACTTGCTGTGATGTCTTCCCCCCCTCCATCTACCACTACCACATCTGGAGCCTTCTCTTCCTCGTCTCTCAAGTGAATTGCTGCAGCATCGGGCTCGATATTGAGCCCAGACTGTTGTTCCTCCACAGGACTAATTGGAAACTTTTGTGCATCATTGTGGCTTGATTTTTCTCGTCGTCTGAGCCATCCAATGTCAATTGCGCAAATAGGCTTTAAAAGATGATCCCACAGCAATGGCACCTACCTACTTCCAATTCTTCCAGTCCTCATGTTTTGTTTCTACTGTTAAGTTATTCTTTCTACTGACAAAGCCCTAAGAAAAGCTGCAGCTGCTTTGGATTCTTAATAATTGGCCTTGGCTTCTTGGCCACAGGTCCCATGGCTGTAGTACTAGCTACTAGCTAGATCTCTCTGCACATGAAAACAACCAGAAGAGCCATCTCATGCTGCAGCTTCCGAGCTGAGGCTGCCTCAGCACGAGTGCTGTTGTTTCTTAGCTAAGTCAGCCCCTGTACTAGCTAGGTCATTTCTTACCAGACCTCCTGATTCCATCGTAACTACCGATAGCTATAGTCTTTTTGCAATACATGATGTGTATGTGAGTGCATGTACTGACTTTCCCCAACGAAGCTTCTTAATTTCAGGTTTGAAGGATACAATACCCAAACATCGCGCGCGCGGGTCAATTTGACTTGGACAGCAACAAACATACATAGAGACGAGGTCACACGGTTTTGGTGAGAACTGGTACCAGAAGCGAAATCTTGCCTGCATGGTATTCTTAAAATAGTGGTACGATGGTACGTAGCGTAGCCTTTTAGTGAGAGTGAGCTGAGTGAGAGTGGCACTCCGGTACACACTCAAAACCTCTCCTTGCTATTCTCAAAAATCATAAATCCAACTGCAGCCCCGGGAAAAGCAGGTCACAACCACTTGACACCACCCTCTTCTTCTTCTTCTACAAAACAGAATGACGACAATGGGAGCCAAGAAAGGGCTAAGTCCGAGATCGTCCTCTCCTGTGGCAGGGTTTGCCAAGGGCCGTTTCCGTCCTGTGCACTTTATTTGGCTGCTACTGCTGGGGATGTTCTTTCTGTCCAAGCACTGCATCATCTTTCTGGGTGAGATTAACGATGTCTGCTATGGCAAGAGTTTCTCCATGCAACCGCGTGCCAAGAACTCGATCGATCATGAGCACGCACTCGACTGTGCGGCACTAAACACAGAAAATGACCCCGGAATTGACGTCAAGGTACACAATTCTTGCGTCGCTCCCGAATTCAAAATGAACGTTCACCCAACAGGCGACTTGGTGTCGAGATTTATTCGCAGCTGGGGGTGTTTCGAATGTTCCCTGGTCAAAAAGTTTATGCGATTCTTGGCACAAACACCCCCCGATACCTTTCTCCTCGATATGGGTGCCAACATGGGCTGGTACAGTTTGCATGCGGCGGCGCTGGGGCGAGATGTCTTTGCGTTTGAACCATTCCAGAAAAATTACCAGCGCATTTGCAAATCCACAACAATATTGAACAAGGGCTTTGATGATAGAATAGTGGTATTCAATGTGGCCCTTACCGATCATCCCACGACCATTGGATTTGGGTATGTGTCCGAAAAGAATTTCGGTGGCATTCATGTCGAGGAAAGTGATGCTGTCAAAACCAAAGCCGCCGATGCGGTACGGGGGGTCGATTATGCCCCGGGCATTCAACTGTCGTCCTTGAAAGACGTATTGCCTACCAATCGCCCTGCCGTCATCAAAATTGACGTCGAACGGGCCGAGTGCGAAGCCTTGGGGGGTGCCTTGGACTATTTGCACACGATTGATCTGCTCTATGTGCAAATTGAATGGAACCCGGCACCCATGGGTGCCTGCAAGCATCGAGACGCTATTTTCGAATTGTTCCGAAAGAATCGACTGACTCCGTACCAGCACTATCCGATTCAAGATGTGTGGAAGCCGCTCGACGTCAAGGAGTATAGTCAATGGCACAACAGCTGGCTCATAGAAAAGGTAGGAAATTACCCCTTTATCGATATCGCATGGATTCGAGAATAAATAAGCAACTTTCAATCAGTCAGTCAGTCAGTCAGTCAGTCAGAAGGAGCGAGAGATGCTATAAGTGTCTCAAGTTTATAGGTTAGGAGTGGTGTGGGCACGCCTTGTTTCTTCTCTCAATTTGTACATCTATCTTCATAAGCAACTACTGGTACATGTACCGTATTCCTTTATCGTACTAGCTAGCTAGTAATATGGATACCTCTGCCTTCTTGGTTGGCTCTGCTTATATCATGATGTAGTTCGAGCTTCGGGGTGGTCGCTTTAGGCTAGTTGCCAGCGTTGAAACTGTGGAGCCCACCGTCACAGGAGCGAAGGGTCAATTCTCGTCTCAGCCATTCTAAAATCTCAACGGGGGTTTAGAATAGGGAAATATCTACAGAAGCCAGCCGCGGCCAGGCTTTGCCATTCTAAAATAATAATCATGGCAAGCATGATGTAGCTACCAGTACCACATCAAATAGAATCAGAACGAATTTTGGACCAACGAATCTACTAGCTAGAGAATGCCCTTATGCTTTTAAAAGACAATGTCTTTTTTGAAACAGGAGGAAGAAGTAGATTATGAAGCTATTTACCACAAAATCTGCTCATCCCCCTGAATGTTTCAGACAGCGTCTTATGTATAAGACAATGACTGTCCTAAAACAATGCCAGACTTATATTTTATTAAGATATTTTATTAAGACAATCTTATGCTTCAAAACATGGCTGTCTTTACAGAGTCATCGTCTGAACTTTAAGACAGCTGTCATGTTTTAAATTTTAACAAAACTTTTTGTAGCTTTTTTCCAAGAATCAATCTTTTACCCCAAGGTGCAGGTGTAGGGCCCTTGTGAATTTTATTTGTACATGTATGTCTGTCTCTTTGTCTCTTTGTCCCTCTGTCTGTCACACTTTTTAGCCCTATCCCTAATGGTAGCCTGGCCAAGAGAGGATCAGATGGCTGGCTAGCTAGCTGGCTACCAGGTAGCTAGAATGATGTATTGAGGCCAAGACAGACTACTACTGGCTAGCCAAGCCAAGCTAGTAGCCCAGCCAATCACAATCAAAATCAAACTCGTTGAGGGGGCAGCCTGAATCTCTGCAAACCACTGTTTCACGTGAACACTAGCAACTAGCAACAGCTGTCTTACTACATGTACTGTTCACCGCCGTCATTACCACTTCTGACATACAACTGGGGGGTGGAGAAATCCAGCTTATTTGTATGTCTGTCTGTCTGCCACACTTTTAGCCCTATCCCTAATGGTAGCCTAGCCAAAAGAGGAATGTTGAAAAGGTGTGAACTTGAACGCACAATTTCTCTAATTTAATCAATATCCTTCCAGCTCTACTGTCTAGTAGACTGGCTATTTGTTTCGTTTTCTCTTTCTCTCTCGTTCAGATTGTGAGCTCTACAACTGAGCTCCGATATGCATACATATACCAGGATCTTTCGATCCTCTGTTTCTCGCAGTTTCATCTGCAGATAGATCTCGTCGATCTATCTTCCTGAAGTGCATGGTGGCCCTGGAGGGCTTTCCCACTTTACTAAACCTATGGACCTCATCCGTCCATTCATTTGTTCCATCCCCTCGCTCCTTGCATCATCTCTTCGACCAACTTCCTAACCTTTGTAGTTGCATCATCTAGACGACCATTGTCCTCGTTCCTGTACATTCCTGGCCATCTGATGATGATCGGATAACCATCTGATCTCAAGGAGAGATTGCAAAAGGAAGAGGATGAGTATGTGTTCACCATGAGGTCAGGAGAAGGTTTCAGCCGGAACACATGGATTGCAGACAGTGGTGCATCAAATCATATGGGCAATGTGGACGATGTAATGACTGATGTGGAAGAAATTGATGAGGAATCAAGGTTGGAAGTGGAGACAAGATCCGAGCAGTAAAGAAAGGCACGATCAAGTTAACGACAATGCAACGTGATGGCAAAACGTATGACTTGACACTATCGGATTACAAGTATGTCACCAACCTGGGTGTATGATTATTTAGTTTGGTCAAGACAATCCAGAAGGGTTGGAGTATCTCGAATAAAGGAACCAATATTGTCTTGACGCAACGCAACCAAAGAATAGTCTTTGATAAAATTAACTCAACCAAAGACGGATATCTTTGCGGAATTGATCTCTTCCCACAGGACATGCCACAAGAGAGAAAAAGTTAAGCATGCACAGATGACACGGCCATGGAGGCGACTGAAGAGACTTCGCCAAGTGACACTGTGGATACGCCCAAGTCGGAAACAGCCAAGCAAGGTGAAGTACTGGAAAATCAACGACCTCCACAGGAGAAGCTGGGACATGCAAGAGAAGCCGCACTACGCAGGACAAAAATCAGTACGGGTGGAAGCTCACAGGACATTAGAACCATGTCTCACTGTGGAGAGGACGAGCAAAACAAGCGCCCGAGCCAAGGAGACTTCAACACATCAGAGATCCCTGGAACGAATATTTATAGATACACACTCGTCCTGTGGATGAAGGACACCAGTCCCAAGAGCGAAGAAAATATATGGCTGGCGATTAATTTGATGAATGCTAACAGTAGCCCGATGCGAGTAGGCATCAATTCTAGACACAAAACGCGTGTCATCCTTAAATGTCAAAACTTCATTCGAGTTGATGGATCGCAGGGGCAATCAGTACACTACATCGGATGGACGATGCAAGGAGAAAACAAGAAGCCTTGATAGACGGAATTTGAAGAACGCGATTGAACCATGTTTGAGACGGAATTAAGTTTGAGCATAACTGGACGAGATACGCCTCAACAGAAGGAAGGGTAGAACGATGGATGGCAATAGGCACCGATCGGATTCGGGCCATGTTCCCGAAGCCGGTTTGATGAGAAGCAACGAAAGTTTCTCTACGGAGAGCAGTCATGAACGTCACCGACGTTGAGAATGAACTACAGTCAGCATCTCATGAGAAATCAAGCTACCGCATCGTTCTATGGAGAAAGACATCCACAGATTATCCAAGTTGCGACGATTTCGGAGAGGTTGGCATACGTCAAGTTTTTGGAAAGATCAAGGGAAAGCTACCAATCGTGGATTACCTATGCTGTATCTTGGAAGAGCCCGGGATCACAGTGCAGACACGTAAGAGATGTACAAATCGCAACAGGAGCACAAGATGCTCACACGCGATTGAACTGGATGGACAAGACGCTGATGCCAGATTGGAAGGGTATGGGTCTACACAAGCACAGCAAAAGAACCACACATATTGGAAAGAAAACTCCTCAGCGTCCTACCTACAGAATAAAGAATCGAACCCATGATCTGCTCCTTAAGACCCACGAAGACTACCAAACAGGAGCAATCACACTAGAAACCAAAAGATTAATAAAGATTCTCGCGATCCACAACAGCCAAACCACCTGACCGGTGCGACCAAACTATCCAAGGCAACGGGAACTACAGAAACTCAGGCGAGATACAACCCCCAGGACCCTACAGACACTATGGACCAAGTAGGGCGGTACCTCATGACGGGGGTCCTCATCAAGCACTTCATCGGACCGTGGGGGCATCCGATCTAAGCACAGCAAATGCGAGAAAGCTAACAGAGTCAGCACGAACAACCGGAATCACGCCAATGACAGAAATGGAAAACTTTCGAAGATTCCAATGATAGAACGTTTTGGAACGCACATGAAGACTGGATGGAGTTTGGGTACACGGCATCATTAAAGTTAGATTACTGACGGGAGGAGCTAGAGACAGGCATCCATTGATCAAGAGACTCTCGCATATGACCAATGACTCAGGATCCAGCAAATACAAGTATCTGTTCACAAACCAAGCACGTTCGAGGAACTGGGACCACCCGGACCATTGCGAGAGAAGTGGAGGGAAAGCGATCAAAGGCGAGCTAGACAAGATGGAGAAATCAAGGTCTGGCGCAAGATCAAGAGATCAAGAATGGAGGAAGGAGACGATGTGTCAAACACAAGTGGGTGCTGGAAATCAAGCGGAATGGAAGATTCAGAGCTAGATTGTGGCCTGCGGCTACAGTCAGGTACCCGGAATTGATTTTGACAACATCTACATCCGGTGGCTAACGACATCACCTTCCCATCATCTTGATTCTACTACTAAAGAAGATGGGAGAGCGAAGGCAATTATCTTCGATATTGAGACAGCATTCCTACATGAGACATGACGTAGTTCATCTACATGGACTGCCCAAAGCACTAGAACACCAAGTGACGAATGTGTCATACTGGACAAGACCATCTACGCGCTTGCCAGAGCGCGACACATACTACTTGAAGTTTGCGAGTGTCCTGGAAGACTTAGGATTCGTTACGTGTCCTAGTGATACATGCCTCTTCATGCGGAACAAGAATGGGAAGATATGCGTGATTCTTATGTTACGTGGATGACAATTCACCATTGGAGAAGAAGCGATATCAAGGAAGTGCTTCAAGGGATTAAAGATCGAGGCTTGAACATGACCATAGAGTACGAACTCACGGACTCCTGAGCTGTGAGATTCGGATGAATCCCCGAAAGGTGCTGCATGGGTGGGACAACCCCAATGATCAAGAAGATTCAAACCACATTCGGAGAGGAGGTACAGAAGCTACCCAAGTACAAGACTGCGGGAACACCTGGACTCGAATAGTAAAGACAGACGAACAGACGAATGGATCGCTGAAGAAAACAGAGCAGATATCGAACAGGAGTAGGCATGCTCATGTACCTTATCAGGCATTCAAGGCCAGAAATCTCGAACGCGGTACGAGAGCTAGCTAAGGTCTTGGGATGCGCAACGCCAGCAGCGTACAAGGAAATGCTACGCTGTGTAAAGTACGTGTTGGACTCAAGGAACCGTGGACTTTTGATAAGACCAGAGAAGAATGAAGGACCGTGGAAATTGGAAGTATTCTCGGATCGGATTGGGCCGGAGACAAGAACAACAGAAGATCAGTCACGTCATGATGATCTTTCTCGAAGGTGTACTCATTCACTGGAGGTCCAAGCTA